CTATAGTTCCGAATTGCAAAATGGGAAATCCGAGTTTCGCATTACGCAATAGGGAACCATAGTATAGGTCCCAATTGCAAAATGAACTTCGCGTGATCCTGCGACGGCAAATTTTTGCGGGGTCGCTGAAGCGGGATAAAAATTGTTTTTGAGGATTTTCTTTTTCTCAATAGTAAGTAAATACCCTCCTGATACGGAATTCATCATAAAAAAAAATCGAAAATTTGACCCTAGTTCCTTATTGCATAAAGCTGTCCAACTCTTTTTCAAAACTTAAAATTATCCAATGTAATTTAATGTGACTGACTCTCAAGATATATGAAATTTCTCTTAAGAGTGTAAGTTGTAGGTCAAAAGAGCTTCTAAGATCACAGCCAAATTTTTGAAAGGATTTCTACATTAATACTGATCCTGTATAAAACTCTTGAGACACTTTAGTCTAGGAGTAGATTACAATACTAAATAAAAAATAACTGGAACATACGTTGATACTTGCGATGCCGTTTTTGCCAATGATCATTTTTATTTACATTCATTTGCTTAAGCTCTGAATCATCATGCTTCTTGGTACCCTTCTCTTTAAAACGAGTTTTAATAGTTGGATCCTCTTCTTGACATCTCTGCAAAGAAATAAACAGCCAATTGAGAAACACTGTGGCATTCAGTAGCGCATAGTAATCAATGAAAAAGTCAACTTTAGAATTTAGGGAGGCAAAAAGTGCTCATTTATTTAAGATAAAGGATAATTATTAAAAATATTCCTAAGGAATAATGAATTATGGAGCAGTATACCTAAAAGTTCAAACACTTTTGAAAAGTAGACTTCATGTAAAATGCAATGTTAAAACAGGGGAGGGAGACACACGTGAAAATCATTTCATAAAATCAACTAGAAAAAATCAATTGATTCTACTGAAGCATTATCGAAATAACATAATTTGCTTTTTTTTCATGGTGATAAATTTAGATTTACATGGTTTGTACAGCATCAGGAACAAAAATTCAGCATTAATCTAAAAATTTTCAGGCACTTTTTCCTGCAAAAAAATAGGCGTAGTATCACGGAACCAAACATTTTTGGTTTGATATAAATTTACTGCTGATAATGAGAGAAGAGGAAAATTCAAACACTTTTCGAGTAGCATCCATAAAATCAATCTATTTGAAAGCCCCCCCCCCCCAAAAAAAAAAACTTTGAGATCAGGCATTTTGTAAGAACATTTCAGGGCAAACTTCTCAAGTTTGTACAAACTATGATGAAGCATATGTTGATCATACTTAATGTTCAGTTCAGGTGATGGGGAAATTAATTTATACTTACAACACATATGTACTGTTTAATGTATTTTGCTTCTTTTTGACTGATTCCAATGCAATCACCGTGGTACCATTCTTCACATGAATCACAGCCACTAATAAGAGGAACAAAAGAAAAAGAAGTAGGTCAATGGTTTTCCTTTAAATTCAGTCATTTCTTTGTCAAAACGATAATAAAGAAAAAACAGGTAGTCTTATATAAAAATACACCCATGTAAATCTTGGAAGCATAATGACAATTCGACCGTGTAAGTCGGCAATCACGTAACTCATTTGTGGTGTCTGAAAATCTCCGACTCTACATTATTTTTTTAAAGGAGAACAAATTGACATCATTCCTTGGAATTTTTGCAGAATTTTCTTCGCACAGAGAGGAAAAATCACGGCAGTTTTAAGGAATTGCCGTTGAGTCATTTTCCGTTCAAAAAATAATGTATGATGACATCGCAAACCGAGTTATGTGATTGCCGACTTAAGTACACCGTCAAATTAGTCTTTTTCTTATAAGAGAAGATTAGGGCAAGAAATCAGCATTTTGAAAAGCAAGGACAGTTCTTCTGGATTCATCCACAAATTGTCATTGACGCAAATGATGGCACTGCCCATAAAACTTCAGCTATTATAGTGATTTTTTGGTTAAGTTTCAATCTAACATTTACTTTGCTTATTGCTAATTTTAGAGGGAAGGGCTCCCTTAGTACTTCAAATTTCAAAAAAAAGAAATAAAATTATTTTTTCCCCAACTCAGGCATCCTGCTTCTTTTGATTTGATACGCAACAAGGAAGCTGCAGCTACTTTCCTCATCAGATTTAAGAACTAATAAATGGGTAAGTGAAAAATAAAATACTAACATCATAAATCTAGAGGAGTCAGTGGATCTACAAACGCAGTACTTCCTTCCATCCGATTTGAATAATGTTGCTATCTTAGATTTACGCTCAGGTAATTGGAAAAGTTTGGCGATTTCTTCTTTCTGCAACAAAAATTTAGTTATTGAATGAAAACATGATTGAAAGGAGGGTAATGACTACCTCAATCATTGTAAGAGGAGCACAAAAAACCAGGTGGCCACCAAGTATTCATGAAATTATCATAAGATTGCTGACCCTGATACTTTAGCATGTGTAGGATCATATTAATGGAATGACCGTAGAGAAACTTTAGTAATTCACCGAGGAACAGATGACCATAATATTCAACTTCACATTTTTTGAGTTCCTTGCCTCACTGTATTTTTTTCTCTACTGAAAATTTCAAATCGAGTTCTATCTAGCCCGACTCCATCACACTGGAGTTTATAAGGAAATCTCTATAAAGGTGCAGCAAATAAGGCGTGCAATCCGCCACGCGAATGCGCTGCGACCGACGGCGGATAAATCTGTCATACGCTTTTTGCATGGGCACGGCAAATAAGCAACGCAATGGACACGGCGGAACGCCCGGATCTGTCCAGGACGGATCGGGACAGAATCCATCGGAGATTCCGCCGAGATTTTGTCTCAATTTCACGAGTCAAGATGAATGACGAGGGAGGGCGCGAGCGCTCGACACCATGGCAGCTCTAATGAGGGGCCCACCAGCTTGAGTACCTCCTCGAACTATTGCCAAGTCAGTCTAAAATATTCCTTGAACAGAGTGTCACTGTCCATAAGGTGGCGGGTTATAAGATTTGAGAATGCCCCTTCCCTCCTTCACGCCTGGAATACTGAACTTGGGGGCCGTCATCCAAATAAGTTGTGCATACATGCAAATTACACGAACTCCTCCTGCTTTATTTCTCCTTGCAAGAAGCTTACAAAAAGTAAATTATTCATTTTACACAGCAGGTCCCCCGAAAAACAAAGTTAACATCGAAAACTGACCGGACGATACAATGGAATGAGGGAGTCAATTCCGCCGCTAATTTGCCAGGCACGACAGAACCGAATCTTTGCTCGACTCGTCGCTCGCTTCAGTGTTGGTCGCAGCAGATTGCGCGCTTTATTTGCCGTACCTTGATGAAGCTGAACGTGCGAAAGGAGTTTGAGTCCAGAAATTTCCCTCCCACACGCCCACCTACCGCTTGTAGCAGCAGACTGGGCAGTGTCCTTGCCCTGCCACCCACCTTACCTTCATCGAGCCTTGCTCATCGGCTGCTATGACACTACGCGGCAGCAGCCAGTAGTTTCTTTCGATCTCTCTCATCACTTTCTGCCAGAACTGCTGCCAGTGGTGGGTAAGGAGGCTCTCTCTTTCTCCTCCCAAAGCTTTCTAGAAATTTCTTGGACTTAACGAGGGTGCCACATGTTGACAAGTTGTGGGAAAAGCCCCCTGGCTAGCCGTGCAGGGAACGGCTAGTGTAGAATGAATCACAAAGGCATGGTTCTAAATTTTGAATTAGTTACTGATTGTATAATTTTTTTAGAGGGACAACTTCATGAGTTGTTACTGAAGGCTATTAAGCTGTTCCTTTTTGCAGTAAGGCATACGAAAATTAAAATTATAAGGATATAATGAGGATAGAATAGAGATTTAAACTAAAACTGATAAATAATTAGCCTTACCGAAAGTTTGGTTTGATCTTTCTCCATATTGGCGAGAGAGTGAAGAAATTTAGCAGCGACTGATTTACATCAAAACTTCTGGAGAGAATTGACAATAGTTTCACTTCTTCACTTTACCATTTGAATCATCAGAGAGTACAGGAACGAGCTCATTACTTAATCTAGAAAAATATAGAATAATTGAAGATGTTAAAAACAGTTGAGAAGAAATAAGTGGGCTTCTTTTTTTTCAAAAAGGCTGAAGGGAATAACATAACCTCTTCCCAATTGTTTACTTAGGTGACGTCACATCGACAAAGTCAAGCTTTAAATTGCCTTCAATATGTTGTGCAACTATTGTCGCTACAGATGTGTTGTTCTTTTTGAAGGCGTTTCGTTTAAATAGGCAACGCATTCTGTTGGAGTTAGAACAAAATACAACTTGAACATACTGCTCACAGATGTCAGTTAAAAAAGTCTGGTGAATTCTGAGCACAGATCGAAAGTCCATGAAGCACCATATTATTCAGTGTTGTTCTTGTAAAATTTTGATTTCAAATCCAATTTTCTTGAGTTGAAAATGGCTGACGTCGCTGGAGGACGTGAAAGTGGCGTGACACGTATTTTCACAAAACTCCATAATCTCACAGAATCCGGCAATTTTTACGAGGCACATCAACTATACAGGACCATATATTTCAGGTATACAGTCATGGATCAAAATCCTGATTTTTTGGCACCTCTTAGGTTATGTTTACTAAAATTTTCTCAATGAAAAATTATTCGAAATACTCTCCAGATTATCTAGTCTGAATCTCTTTTACTTCACCAAAGGCCTTTTCTCTCATCAATTGGATCAGCAACTCCTCTTTGGTGAAGTGAGAGTCAGTGAGGTTGAGCGTTGATACGCACGATACCATGTTCCGTTTTTGAGGGGGAGTCTGCCTCTCTCAAAGACTATCAGCACTCAGTGAACCATGACTTCTTTTAACTAAATCAAGTGATGGCATCTACTTATTTTTGTTCTGGGATAAGTCTCTTCCTGTCGATTAATCTATCCTGCAAGGGTGCCTCCCTATGTTTAGGAGCCATTCGAGGTTTTCAATTTTGAATAAGTTGTCAGTTGAGTTTGGAAGGAGAAAAAATTGACAGGAAAGTGTTTATCTGAAGCATCTATACCTGCAGATGACTCAAGCAGATTGCACAGTACATTTTGATTTCTAAGCTCCACCAGAACTTCCATGCTCAGCTGGACAGCAATTCCTAATCTGTATCAATCGGCATCTAATCTATTAATGCCTAGCTTCCACTGTCAATAAAGTCTGCAGTGAGCTCCATCTATAAGGCTACCTAACTTTTTTAGCCTCTGCTTTGTGCTAATTGAGGGCTGCTGAAGCTTAGAGATAAAAAAAGGAGGTGGTCGCATTTCAGGCGTCTTGAATTTGGTCGATGACATAGGTGGATACAGACTTGTTCGTCATTGATTTTCTTGAAAATGGTGAAGTTAATGGAAAAAAAGGCATTTTACATGAATTGCCAGGAATTATATTTTGAGTTTAGCTACGCATCCAAAAACAGACGTTATGGTCCAATTTTCATACTTAGAATTTTGGATTTTGCTAGAATATTGACGCCATATTGTACCCACCTACATCCTGGAGTAAACAAATTTGAAAAATGTGACCACCTCCTTTTTTTCTGCACGCTAATAAAGGGCAAAATCAATATGAAATTGTCATAATGCTTAGTCCTATCAAAAATAGTCAAGAGATCGCAGAGAGGTTTTGTGACACTTTCATGGTGTGTAACATCTTTGTCAATTGAATATATTTTACCAGATGCGTTTTATATGTAATAGATGCTGCTAAAACCTGATACGCTGCGCTCAGCAATGGATTGTTAATAATTAGTTTTTTTTGCCCCACAACAGAATACACCTGGGTAAATGCCGTGACCATAGTAAATTATTATCATGAGGTCTCACCCATCAAAATTAAATAAACTCACAAATTTCAACAGTTTCAGTCCATAGATTGTGCAATTTTTATACCAGTTATCATCTTTATTTCCAAATGTTTACAAAAAATTGTTATACCTGAAGATTGTTTAAAGTTCTTTGAAATTAAAACATTTATATAACTTGACCTTCTGCCAGGGACAGATTACACCCTTGTGGTTAAAAATGGTGTCATCGTACACTTTGCAAATCTTCATGCAAATTAAAACTATATGTATCTCTCTATTTACTTACTCACCACCTACTCTCAATTATTTTTTCAGGTATTTAAATCAAAAAAAGTATGATGAATTATTGACAGTTCTGTATAGCGGTGCTACTCTTTTTCTCCGCCATGATCAGGTGAGATGCATTTTGTGTTATCTGTTTTTTTTTTTTTCAGTTTCACCATTAAAAGGAACTTGCGATGCAGTAATTTATTTCTGGTGGTGATGCAGTTTGGAACCAGCAGCCTGATTGTTGAAATTTATGTGGGCAAGACAAGAATCGAAAATCGATAGAATACACAGCGCAAATAGGGCTATGTCTTGTCTTACATTGCTGACAAAGCCAGTCAAAGTTTCAACAATCGAGTTGCGGGTCTGTTTGTTAAAAAAAAAAAAAAAAAGCATCATTATCTCCTCATTTTTAAAAGCGTTTTAATTTTCCTATTTTGGAATGTCTTACAAGTAATTTTCTTGATGCTTACCTAGTGTTCAAATATTTTGCTATTTTTTTAGCAGTTCTGAGACATCTCTGTAAAAGTCAAGCTAAGAAACTTTAATCTCTAATTTTAAGTTTGGTAAATTCATTAAACCAATAAAGTGTCAAGCCCAATTCACACTATCAAACTGTTGATCCGACTCTTGTATGCAACTTGTGGAATGAAAAGTTGGATAGTGTGATACTGACGAGAGAAAATGACAATTTGATGAAAAATTGAACAGAAACTTGAATGTGACGTCACATTCAACTTTTTGTCCAACTTTCCATCCAATTAACAGCGCCAAGTTGACCGCGGAAAATTGAACAAAAAATTGGAGCAAAATCTTCCGACCGACATGAGCCGAAGCTGTATCTTCATGAACTGTAGGCTGATGATGATATCACACTGCAACGGTAATTGAATAAAAAAAATTTGCGTCCAACTTTCCATCCAACTTTTCGTTCAATTATGTCGAATGGAAAGTTTGATTGTGTGAATTGGGCTTTAGACAGAATGTTAAAAATGTTTAGGGGTTTGAAATTGATAGAAGCCATGAAGCAATACTTACATTGAATTCTAAAAAGAAAGTCATCTCTTTGAAATTTTGAGATAATGGGGTGTTTTTTGAAGAAAGAAAGCACATATAAAAAATGGGAAGACAAGGAAGTTTGTTGACGTCCCTGGGGTGCACATAGAATGCACACTACTTAGCTGGAATATAGAAGCAAAATATTGGAATACTGCTCACACTTTCATTCTTTATGTCCATCCATGATATTCCTTCATTTATCATTGACATCACAAGATCCAGAATGTCTTAATTCAATACTGAAAGTAGCCTCTTTCTTTTACAGCAGGTTGGCGGTGCTGATTTATCAATTTTATACATTGATGCACTCACAAAATCTGCTACTCCGGTCACCAATGAGATTTTGGACAAATTACCTCTGTAAGTGGATTTTATTTCTTTCTTCTCCTTTTCTTTTCAGGAATGAGGACAGATGCTCAACTGACATCCACTATGCTGAGTTACGGATGTGGTATGAAAAAAAACCTAGGGCCTTGTCCACACGACGCGGTTCGCAGAACTTAGTTCGGAATACTTGTTCCTCCAAACTCCGGAACTTCCCCCGCACTGCGAATTTCTCTGTTTCTTTTGTTGTGAATTCGTTTTTTGTTTGTTTTTTACGTCCTTTATATCTTGACATTGGTTTTTGTTACTCTCGCGGCCGTAGTAATCTATTATTTTGCAATAAGTGTATAGTTTTGTTGAAGTTCCGGTTCCAGTTTGGATGAACTCGTGTGGACAGCATCCCTTGTTTCAAGGAACAAGTTTCGGCAAACTAAGCAGTTCGTTGAAGAAGTTCCTCGATCCGCTCTCGTGTGGACAGGGCCTAGCTCTCGTGTCTCCAGGCTATGACCTTGAATATGTCATTCATCTTGATGCTAGGCTGTCATTTCTTTTGTATATCTCAATGTTGGGACAGGTGAAGTACCAATTATTACCAACAATTTTTTGCCTCCATTTTGTGTGTTTCAGTCTGCTCAAACTGATGAGTCCGAATTTAGCTGAAAGAGAAACATTCATCAACAAAGCTCTAAAATGGTCCATAGCCGACTGCAGCACTCACAAGTCTGGCCATCCAGCTCTTCATAGAGACTTTGCTGGAATTTTTTGGGAAGGTAGGTTGCTTTTTCCTCAAAATTTTAGACACTTTTAGGAGAGGCGCAGAGGGACACAAGGCACAGGCCTGTGGACCCCAGTCTGAGAAACGCCACTGGAAGAATGTCATGTCAAATTGGCAGTAACAAAATTTAGCCAGTGCTCAAAATCCTTTCGTTTTGTGTTTGTTTCATCAGCCAATAATCTACCAATCATTTTCTGTATTCCAACGTTTTTGCCCTACAGCCAAAATTCCGATTTGCCTCACAAAAGAATTTCAGATCTAACAGCAGAATACCTGACTTCACAGCAAAATTTACAATTTTTCTCCTTTTTTTAAAAGTATTGAGGGTCATTCCACGCCTAGGTAGTCCGGGGGGTATTTTTTTTTTCTCCTCCAAATGACCCAACGATATTTATTTTTGGACTCCTTAATACTCCTAGTTTTTGGAAATATATGTGGTTTACCTCCGTTTTGTTTTTTCTCTCGCAATTTTTACGTGTTTTGTAACCCCGTTGCTTAGCTTTATCCTACTGTAAAAAGAGTGACAGTTTGGTAGCAATGCTTTCTGGTGTTCCCGCCAAAACCAAGTTTCAGGTTATGCTTGCAGTTGTCAAGAAACTGATTCAATGTGCTCCTGCAAAGTTTCAATTTTTAAAATTAATTACTGTATATTATATGTAACTTTTAAAACTTAAGGTACTGACTGTCACACCCGTTACGCAAAACATGGGTTTTTTAATGTAACTATTTTAATTCATGTCATTTTGAGATGCCAATTTTTTCCGTACGTTTTAAAGTCGAGTACAGCTTTGGAGTATTTTTTCCAAATTTTTATTTCAACAATTGATGGGCAAAAATGCGTAACGGGTGTGACACGTTACGGGTCTGACCAATGAGAAGAGCCTTCAATTATGCAGATGTTGCCTCACTTTTCTCCATTTTTTCTATGGTTATCACAAGAAATACACTGATATGCATAATTAGAGGTTATGTGTACATCTAATAAGAGAGAGATATCCAACTTTTTTGCCATATTACACTATTTAAAGTGAATACACCTTATCTCAAAAGGACTTCAAATAGAGCTCGTTGAACTCTCTCCGATTTGATTGAAATATTTTCACTTTACTATAGGCCCAGACCTACCGTGCCAGGGTTTTTTTTTTGTTAATTTGGGCCATGCGACGTCCAGGACTGCGGGGACGAAAAGGGAATCCTGGGTTACCCAAAGAAAAGCCCTGGGACGGTAGGTCTGGGCCACCCTGTAGAGAAATGTACTTTTGGCATGTTCTACATCAAAATGCGTCATATTGCAGATTGATTTACTGCTTAGGATTGCCTACAATAAGAGTATGAGAAGAAAAGTAAGTTTTTTAACTTTTAAACTCTCTCAGAAATGATGGACCTCACAGAGACAATCTGTCACACCCGTTACGTCACACCCGTTACGCAAACTTTCCCATTTTTCAAGGAAAGAAAAACAGATGATCGAAAACGGATCATCGGCAGTTGAAGCAAAAACCCTTGGCTTCATCATATAATTTAATCAGATTTTTACATTCATAAAATTCGCTGAGTTTCCACTTTACACTCACTGAGGAAAAACTCACTTCCAAAATCGGTCACACCCGTTACGCATGCCTTTTAATTTTTTCTGACGAATGGAACAAAGTAAAAACAATTTCTGATAAACTGAAATGATCTATAAAAAAAGTTCTTTCTGCTGCTGCAGATCATTTTTTAATTAAACCCCAAGAAAGAGTTCAAATTCTTGTTTAAAGTTGAATTGTTGTCACACCCGTTACAATGGAATGACCCTTGAGTAAAATAAAAGAAAAAGAGGTCTTCATTTTTAAAAATTGCCTCTCAACCCAAAATTCGCTCCCATTCACTGCGATCCTTTAAAAGCAGCAGGTCAGTCATTTTTTCCTGCCTGAAAACTGGATTCAAAATTTTTGGAAGTCCAAAAACCATAAGGAAAACAATGATGAAAAGCTCCTCCAGATCATGTGGTCTATCATTGAACGAACAGTTCAGGTCCGGCTGACTCCTCTTGTATGTTCAAATTTTCGGCAAGAAGAATTCCACGTTACCTAAACTTAGTTATGCGTGTTGTGTGCTGTTCTTGGGCAAAGAACTTTTCATTTGATTCCAAAGATTTTTTTTTTTTCATTTCAGGCTGTCAGGAATTCTTTAACACTATTGATGTTTTATCAATGACCAATAATTTCCCTTCTGTTTCTTTTCAGAAAAAAATTATGTTCTAGCCAGGTACCATTTTTTACACTCAGAAGATGGTAAAAGTTTCGCAAGAATGTTAGTAGAAATCCATTGTTGTTACGGTTATGCTAGCGAAATAGATCTATTTATTGCCCAAGTTGTGCTTCAGTAAGTATGAATCTCTTACATATTATTTCATTTTTGCATGCTCAAAAGATTTTTCTCCAGCTCTTCCTTGATTTTTGTTGCTAAGGTTGGGGCAAGCACTAAAGAGAAGGATACGCCAATGGCAAAAAGGAAGAAAAATAGCAAAGATGAAACATGTACAAAGTTTGCGTAATGCATAAAGTTTAAAACACGTACAACGTTTACGTAACATATGAGGTTTAAAACATGTACAAGGTTTATGTAACATATAAGATTAAAAACATGTACAACATTGTAAAATATGTGAGGAAGCATGAAACTTATTAATGAGAAACAGAACACAAGCTAAGTAGAAATAAAATGTTGAAAAAGGGAAAGAAAGTTTCAGGGACCTCTTGACTTCTCAGTAAGACATGCATGATTCTACTGAGAAAGAATGAGGAGATATAAGATTGTTTTTGAAAAGAGGAGGAGCACCCAATTTACGAATGAAAACTTGCGAGGGAGTGATTTTGCTTACCGAAAAGAGCTCAAAGAATAGAAGTTTTTTCCACGATTTTTAGCCTCTCTCTTTTGGCGTTTTGTCCACTGTTTCGAAAATTATCGATTCCCTGTGAATTCAATTTTTTGAAAATTGTCAAAACAGCACCGATGAGACTTGCTTCAATACAAATTAATTTGATTTGTGTCAAAATCATGTCCAAATTCTACAATTACTCTCCAAGTGCTCATTATGATTGATATGTTTTCAACCTTCCTAGAACTATGTTTTGTGTTATCTCTGAATTCTTTGTTTGTCCAGGTATTTATGCCTCAAAAATAGAAAATCTGCCGTAGATGCTTTCCAATCTTATACGAGTCACCATCCAAATATCATCAAAGGCCCTCCGTTCATTTTGCCTCTCCTGAACTTCCTATATTTTCTACTAAAAGTTGTTCGAGGGTAATTATGATCATATATAATTTTGATTTCCTGCATTATCTCAAGTTTTCTCTATTTCGAATCTAGGATTTTGTGTGTGTGTGTTTTTTTTTTAAAAAAAAAACAAGAAAGGACTATTCCTTCTTTTTTCTCTCTCTCTCTTTTATGATTTTCTCCCACAGTTACTGCTCCCAATTTTTGTGGAGAAACAAGGGGCACTATTTTATGATATAGGACTGAAGAACATCTCTAGATTCATCAATCAGTGTCTTATGAGTGTCAACGAGGAGAACTCATGGACGAAGTCCTACTCCATGTTTAAAAGATAAAACAATTTCATAAAGCTCAATTCAAGTCATTCAGTATTTTTTTTTTTTTTCTTTTTGTTATTTATATTATCGAGAGTTAGGCAATAAAACGTTTTAATTTTCAATTCTCTTGTCATAGGGGACAGTTGGCAACATTCACCGTACTATTAGAACGCTACGAACAAAGCATCAGGAGAGACCCCTCGTATACTGAATATCTGGATAAAATAGCGCAGCTTTTCTTTGATGTTCCACCTCCACCGCCTCGTAGGAGAGGTATTCTAGGTAACCTTCTTTTCAGTTCAACCTCTCATTAATTTTTTGCAGTCTCATCTCTTGGCAATCACAAACTTCTTTTAATGTTTCCATTGTACAAGGACCATAGCAAACCATGCACATGTTAACTTTGCAAAGGAGAGTGGGCAACTAGACAAGGTCTGAACTGGAAGAAAATGTCACATGTTTCCTCATCAAAATCTTACACAGAAAACGATACTCACAACAGGAACTTCGGAAACCGCCTCCTGAAGGAGATATTTACAAGTGCTTCAACACAGGTCGAATGGAAGTTAGATCATACAGATGACGTCATTTGTATTTTTGGCATTTAATCATTGTTAATTGTAAGCATCTATAGCTTGTCTAGGAATTGACTTTTCCTGCCTTTTGGTTGTGTTATCTCGATTTCGTTGTGAAATCTTGAAGAGGAAACATTCTAGGTAGTGATTTAACTCATACCTTGTCTAATGGCCCATTGTGGAAAGGATTATGTAATCCCACACTGAAAATAACCATAAATATAAGACTAAAATCACTTCAAAAAAACAAGGAAGAAGCAGTAAAGCTGTGCTAATCGAAGGAAAAAATTATTTGTGTTCTTAAGCCAATGTTCACATCATTTGGGCTACTTATGCTAAAAAGAACTATGTTCCATGCAAACCCTTTGAACATTATTCTTTTTCGCATGAACACGTCCATTTCACATCTATGTCTACTGTTTATCTAAAATGGTAACTCTTTAAAATGCCCCTTTCTGTAACATTCTGTGTTCCTCTCGGTTTCTGTTACTATTGTCCTTTTCTCTTCATCATATTGTTTTTCTCAAAAGATTTCTTTCATTTACCAGATAATTTGTTGCAATCTATCATAATGAATGGAAATGAATTCGACTCGGATGAAGGAGAGTCAGATGGTCCATCGCTTTTGTTCAGCAGTCCATCGTGCTCATATGTGCCGCAACGAGCAGTTGAAAACGAGGACCTTGACTGATATTCAACACTGTGATCCACCATGCAAAATTCAATTCAAGACAAGTAGTTCTTTTATAATTTGTTGATAAATTATTGTTTTCTTCTTGTTCTTTTCCTCACATTCTTTTTGTTTGTTTGTTTCTATAAATTAATTTCTAAAAGTATGCAAGGGAAGAGTGATGTCTAAAGACTCTGCAGCCTCTAGTCAGTCGTATTACAGCAGCTTATTGTGAGTTAGCCAAAGGAAAGTAGAACTTTGTCTTCGTTCAATCATTGTGGTCTCTTGTAAAAGCAGCAGTACCGCACAAGTTGAGATTGATGTTGGGGGGTTTTCAATATTTATTAACTATGAAAATAGGTATCTTGATTTCAGGGTTTGATCATTTCTCACTTACTTCATTATTTAAAGAGAATATCACTAGACCTTATTATACTGAATTTTCAGAATATAATTTTGGGAGAAGAGAAATAAAGGAAATTTCGTGCTGTAGGAATTGTACATCATCTTTTAAAAAAATTGACTGTAACAGGATACCAGCAACATCACATTTTTTATTTTGACAGCTGAAGTAGAAACTTGGAAGCTGCAGAGTCAGAGGAATTCGAGGTGCTACTGCTCATGATCCACTCAGAATCATCATCTGAGTAAAAAATGCCCCCAGTTGCTCCCTCTAACAAGCCAAATAAGTTTTTGATTTTATTTTTGCATCTGATTGACTTACCTTACACATGATGAGCTATACAGTGGCTAATTGTGTAATACGCTGCCAAAAAATCACAATTTTGAAGTATTTCAAAATTTGCTGCCGGAGAAAAACTTTGCGTGTGTTGAACAGATGCAAACATGTCTTTATACTAATATTTGTAATTGAGACAATGCTGTCAAGCTCTGAATGTACCCTTGTGAGAAAGGCATGGAATTTCAGACTCTCGTACGATTTTACTCCATTTCTCCTTTTCATATTAAATTTTCACAATTGCATCGAGAGTCTCAAAAGGAAAGATGGATATTTTTTTGCTGTTGTAAGCTTTCTCAATAATATTAAAGAGTTCAAAATCACTAATGAGTGATTCTTACCTCATGTTGTCTTGCTTAGGCTTCTCTTTGTTGTTGCACCCTCAAGTTGGGACTTTTTAATTACCGTACCAAATTTCTGCTCTTGAATTTATACAACTTAAATTTTTCTCATGATTCAACTTTTACTCACCAATATTCAAAGTAAAATTTAAGAAATTTCGAGGATGTTTCTTTCCGTAAAAAGAAGTCCTGTTTTCAACTCTTCAATTTGCATATCAGCAAGATTAATGATGACCACAGCATGGGATGATCTCTTTTGAACACCATGAAAGTTTGCTTAAGTGTTAGCAAGTACAGTCAATATGAAAATAGTATCCTATAGTTTTCCTGGCTTTTTGCTTTAAAATTAAAACCAAAAATATGTACCAATGTATAGGAGATATACAAGAAAAATTACTAATTCTCCACCTTCAAAGAGTGCTGTTGTGAAGCAAACTTGTCTGCTCACTCATTTTTAACGGGATGTCACCGCAACAATATTATGGAGATGTTCATATTCCAATACTTTTCTCAAATCCACTAAGTCTGCAGTATACAATGAATGAAGGCAAGTTCCCAACTCACCTCTCCACTGTAGGATGAATAAAATATAATTTCTTACTTACGTATGTAAACTTAACTTACTTACTGTAAGGTTACAAAATTTAACATTTTCCCAGCAAAGTGGGCTCTTATCCGAAGGAGCATATAGTTTAATCAAGTTAGCTTACTAATTTTGCACAATTAAAACAAGCGATCAGGGTTAATCTGAGTCGAGATGAAAGTTACAACATGCTCAAATGATAAATGATTAACTTACTAACCTTTAAATGTTACCACCTGTCTCTCACCTTACATTTTTAGATTTTCTTTCTTTCTAAAAGATTTTGTGTTGAAACATTCTTACTCATTTACGTAGAAGAGGTTTAGTCCGCACACCGCTGGCACCTTATCTCTCAATTACCATGAGCAAATGGTTTCGTATTTCCAAGGTTTCTGCGAAATGGAGCCCTCGCTAGTAATGGAGGATCTTAGTACACAGGTTCCAAGTCTACCCGTTAATATTCCTCCTCTTTGATTCCTTACAAATGGAAAAGTTTGTATTGATTGCTTTGTTATGACACATACCACAACTAGTGGTACCATCTTGAAGATTGTTTTCTATAAAGCTCTCTTTTCAAAAACCTTTTTTTAATCCTCATTTTCATCCTATTACGCTTCTCTGCACCGTCTATCATTCGTTGACAAATTTAGAATAATAGAACAAGTACCATTTCATTAATGGGCCTGTTGCATGCAAGAGATACAGCCGCGCGAATAGACTTTTTAGAGGTTAAATGACACGAAAATTACGATGGTCACATTAAAAAAGTCTGAAATACACTCCTTACTGTGCAATTTGCGTTGTTAGGAACGCGCTTTTTCAAATTTCCCGCGTCTGGGGGCAGTTTTCTAATCACCGGAAACGAGCAAACGGCGGGCTCGGTGATTTCCGGAAGATGCCGAGTCGTTGTTGTTGTTATTTTTTCCTTCAGTTTGTTTACAAACACAACGTAATCTCCTATTGTGGTCCATATACGCTTTATGCGGTAACCAAATCGATCAACTTTTAAATATCCAACGCAATCGTTTTACATTTCATTTCACGATGTCACGAGCTCCGATTTTTAGGTTATGTTGTCAGTTTTAGTTGACCGGAAATAGCCGCGAGTTGCCGTTAATTGTTTCCGTTAGAAAACTGCCCCCAGACGCGGGAAATTTGAAAAAGCGCGTTCCTAACAACACAAATTGCGCAGTAAGGAGTGTATTTCAGACTTTTTTAATGTGACCATCGTAATTTTCGTGTCATTTAACCTCTAGAAAGTCTATTCGCACGGCTGTATCTCTTACATGCAACAGGCCCATTTTAGGTTAACACAAAGTTATGAAATTCAAAGGGATGTATGGTGATTTAAATTTCTGTCTGGAAACTGATCCTTTGATTTGTTGCCTGTGGGGTAAAAGGAAATCACCGCTTTCTTCCAAGTCCAAGGATTGCTGTATGGATGTCTCTTTAGAATTTTCAATTTCTTCTATCTCTTTATCCAGAGAATGGGAACTGGAAGCTCTGAATTGCTACCTTAGCGTGTGACAGGGCAACCTCATTGGATAATATTAGCCTAAAATTCGAGTCTTACACCCATTTAAAAAATGAATAGTGGAATTGAGGTCTGAGAGATCACCCTCTCCCTTTTTAAGGGAGGAATGTTTCAATGAATAAAGGAAAGGTTTAAAGTTATCTTTCTAAAGTTTCCTGGTGGGGGCGTGTCAACTTATGGGCAAGAGGTAGTATCAAAATAGAATTGGTGTATGCATGTTGGTATGCCAACTAAAAACTCCGCTGCTTTCGCTTCAGGTTTTTTTTTTTTTTTTTTTATTTTTATTTCTTTGAGAGGGATTTCTATTCTTTAAGATGTTCGCAACCTCCTTTAATGAATAAAATGGGAACTGCTCTGAAGTCAATCTTGTATTAGAAATCTGTACAAATTGCAACTCATTGTTGAATACCCGGCACTTCCAGAAAGTAGAGGCACTTTCAATGAGTATTTATATTTTGTATAAATGTGTTGAACAAACCAGTTTGAGTTAAGCTCAAAAAGACTGGTCTGCTTAAAGGAGAGGAAGTGTTTGAACACTAAAGAATGAGAAAATAGAGGAAAAAAGGCTTTGAAAAAAGGTGTAAATTAAGATAGTGATTTATTCCCAAGTATTTAAATCTGATTCCAATATCGATGCTGGGCACACCCCAATGATAGGTGTTACTCTTATAGGCTTTTACTTGATGTGAAAATTTATACTGAAACCACCTTTAATACAGGTGATTGATAAGCTTCGAACTTCATCAGGCAAGGGACATTTAAAATCTTCACCTTTTGTGAGCTATAAGTAAGTGAAATCTAAAGGAATTTTCTACTGTAAAGAGTGTACGTAATGTAGTGAATTATTTTCACTAATCTTTTTGTCTACTGAATTCACTCTACTGAATTTCTTTTGAAGCAGCAAGTAAGAATGTGCTCGCAATAAATATTTTCAGAAGTCGATGAAGTTTCAAAAAGCTCATCACTTGATGATTAATCCATGAGATCTGAAGTGAACGTTTGAGTTATTTTCTCCATGAGGTAGCAATAAAAAGTGTTGCATAATTTGATGACCAGATCACTTGCTGGAAACGTTATCAATCCATATCTTCTTCAGTTATAAACCCACAACTACTAACGATTCTCAAAAGCCAGATTATAGTTATAATATTAAGGGGTATAATATATTGCTGAAAATGAGATGAGATATTTCTGAATCAGCTGCCAATTTAAAATTTAACTTCAAAATTAGCCGGGAAATGTTTCTATGTTGAGGTTGTGGTTGTCATTCAAACTAGTGATGTCCATCAGCTCGACTTAGATTATCTTAATTTTTAGGTTTCTTACACATACATTAAATTATTAAAATATCTGTTGATACATGTATGTAATCGGTCTAAAAAGAGAACTTGAGAAGAGGATTAAAATAAGATTAGTTAAATTGAGACGCTATCTAGGCTGTTTATTGAAAGCACTCTCTGGATCAACTTGAAATGATTCCATGCCTTCCTCACAGACTCAGATGTCATTAATTATTGTACAACAACTATAAAGCGTGGAAGAATTTTTATACATTTCAATATTTCTTACCAAACATCGGTAAACATCAATTGCAAGAAAAAGAGTATTGATGTGCTGTCGACTTATCTCGTTGTGACAATGCAGAGCATGCCAGTTGCTTGCAGCTGATGGGAAACAAGTAAACTCCGTACAAAAAGGACGTCAGCATCAGGGATTCTTTCAAAATTTAAGTTTCTCTAATTTTAAAGCATCACATCTCTGTCTATGGTATTGGTTTCAATATTGATTTGGTGTGAATATATTTAGATATCCTCGCCTCCTCTAAGCAATACTAGCAAGTAACTGAAATTTCATTTTCATAATGCGGCTGTTTTCGAAAATTCGTTTGTATATTTATATTTATTTACACATAGTAAAGAGACAACATATTGTAGCTCAAAATTGCAAAAAAGTACCCTACAAACGAATCTGGTGAGTCAAGGTGGCCCTAAAAGTGTTTTATTTGTGTTAAAGAAAACGAAGAATTTTTAAATTTTATCTCCCAGCAATGCTTCCAATAACAGCCAAAACTTCTCATGCTTCTAATACCTTCTTAAGCCTTGTATCCTCAGAATCATTTATGATTTATTTTTGATTAGAAAAAGGCCTTTTAAAAGAGCTTGCTTCTGTTCAACTGCACTTTTTATGCCTCTCCGTGCATGAATATATTTTGTTAATTTTTAGGTTTCTTAAATTTTTCCGATTATCAAAAGAGTAATCCTAATCTTCCCCCTCAACTCTATTAAGAAATTGTACAGTAAATCCCAAAAATCCCCCTCCCCCTTTGTTTTATCATTTGTGTGTTTTATTGTACCTTAATTTACTACAATAAATTTATTTTATTTTGTTGTAAAAAATCTGAAGCAAGATTTCTCTTTTTCACAAACACGTTATAAAAGGCTACGCACGCAACACCAAAAAATTGCGTGTCAGCATGTCGATCAATATTTTCGAGAATTGTAAGTATTGAGTTGCATAATAAGAGAGGTTCAATTGGACTACATTTTGCGATTTGGTACTTTAAATTCTAGCCCGTTTAAAAACAACGCATGTGCCATTAGTTTCCCTATGCACATAAGTGTTTTTTCAGATGAGTTAGAATTTATAGCTCTAAATTGTAAAATGCAGTCCAATGTAAAAGGCCAAACCCTCATACGGGCAAACCTCATAAGCAATTAACAATAAAATATTTGAAACTACTGTTTCACTGAAATATAATTGCAAGACCAACAAACACCCAAAAATGTGGTGCGTACATTTTTAAAGACAATTGAAATTCACATTCTTGCAAAAAATGTATTAAAATTTTTCTTAGAATTAGACGGCTGATTTAAGGATAGTAGATATCTCCGAGGATGAAAAAGGGGCTCCCCCAAAGGGCCTTTGAAGGATTTTCAATGAATTTTCATCAAGAAAGAATGTTTCTATAGTCTACTGAACTCACAATTATCTGGTGAAACAAACATCATTGATGCGATTTATTTACACGTGGTTGATTAGCCATTGAAGCACCTTAAAATTTGCCGCAAAGGAAATGATACAAACGTAAAAAAGAAGGCGACTGAATTAAAAATATACATCATATATTTATTTACAGCATTTTTTACATTTATAAATTATTTTTAGTCCATCGGGTATTAAAAAAAATAAATAAATCATAAAGACATAAAAAAAGAGGGAAACAGTGCAATGTTCACCCTACAGAATCAACCTAAAATTGAAATATTGCCGGAAACATACAATGAAAAATGAATGTAAGTATTACGTAAATAACACTTTGAGACATATACTCTGGTCGTATCAAATTTACACTTACACCGAGCACAGAATTTCACTTCAGCTCAGTGGAGTTGAAAACCAGTGCTTATTCTATCTTCCACTATTGTACAAACCGACAATTACAAATATGCGGTGATGTACGGCTGTCCAAATTAATGTAAGAAGGTACCGACAAATCGGAAAGTTTTGTACACGGTAATCAGAATCTATAATGCTGTACACAAGATTAATTTTTTAATATAAACATTAATTCCTGATAGAGAAAAATAGTCATTACAATTCGATGTTTACACTTCAATACCGACAGTTTGAATGCCAAATAAATGTTGAACAAAAACTGCACAATATTGATCAAGAGAATTCGCATAAAAAAAGATAACACTACCATGTATGTTTTTCTCAAGAAGAGAGATTGTCAACATTTTACAAAATTGCATCAAAATGTTCGGTTAATGCGATCGTTTCCCAAACGAAAGAGCGTAACTCGAGTTTACAAAATTGACTTGAACAATTTAATTTTTTTGCAAGAATACGACTGTGCGATTTCTGTCCAAACTCTCGCTAAAATTTGCGAGCGAATCGAAAAAAACCAGTGAAACGATCAGATGAAACGCCCAACAGTAATCTCTTAAAAATACAATTTGTTAGAGGAAATTTTGCTACATTGAACTGTAGTTACGTTCTTCAGTCTAGGAATTGTCAGATTACTGCTAATTATTGATTTTACTTGATGAAAATTATTATTGTGAGCTACAGTATTTCTGAGACACATAGGACACTGATATATTACTACCAACAGAGGGGGCTAACTTCACAGTAGCAATCACTTGGCTAGCTGAAGCAACCCTGTTTCAAAGGGGTGTCTTGACATAGAATGTTACCTACGACAGCAGCTAACTTGGGGAGTTTCTGCATTTTGATTGTAACTTGAATAAAATGACAGCAAAATGTGAGAGCAAAAGAACTCACAAAAACCATTTTCTGTTTCCAGAAAAATATTAAAATGGCTAAAATAATTAAAAGTGATTAACATTGAAAAGAAAATATCAAACAGTCACTTTCATATCCTATTAAAATAACTAGTGATAACAAAAAATCTTTCATTGTATTAACCTTACGAGTAACAGTCAGTTACAAAAGTCCCCTGGTGAAAACGCGGGGATTCATAGGATATTCAGTGACAGCACATGATTGAGCTTAAGTAAGTTAAACAATTTTGAGTAAGTGAAAAAGAGAGAGAAACAATCAAAGAAAAAAAGTGTAAAGCACCTTTTTAACCTGGATCAAAGCAAATATTTGCTAAGTATCCAGGCAAATTTTGAAATTCTAAGTCACCGGTGACTTCACCGCTAGGCACCAAGAATGAAGAGAGATATCTTAAAAAGAAACTGATAGCAGACTTGAATTAGCTGCTTCAGTCTGTGAGTTCATGTTGAACTCTAAAAAATCATATAGTTCTATAAATATTGCCAAAATCTAATTTTTAAAAAAGATTACCGACTGAGGACGAAGATCAACAACAAAATACGAATTTTTAACACAAAATAAAAGAAGAGGAAAATGCGATAAAAAAATTAACAATGGGTTATTTCCAGATATAATTCGCACTTTTTAACAAAAGAAAACCTTATTCAAAGGTATATTAATTAAGATATGGCTAGTTTTGACTTCTTATTTTACAAAAACAGTTTTTGGCCCTTTTTTCAATTTACCTTTAATGATCAAAAACAAATTTTACTCGACAGAAGAGTATATTTCAAATCAAAGAGAAATTCCTATAGAAAATCTGAGGCATGGTTCCCAGAATGAAGTCAGTCTAACTTACTGAGTATATCAGACAGGGTTGCTTGCAATAAAAAAACAAGACAATTTTATATAACAGTAAAAACGAAAACTTGTCTCACTTGTCCTGTACATTCGTAGAAAGTGAAAATTTCAGCAACAGATTTCAATCCAACACTTCTAGTTTTTTGGTCATGGTTGTAAAAATACACAAAATTCTCTGACCGTAGAAGACTGTTTGAAAAGAAATTCCAGATTGACGATCCAGCGATTTCAAGGGAGTTACCTCGTTTTTCACGTCACAAGCAACCCTGATAAGATTAAGTAGAACAAAAGGGCTTACATGCCCGATGACACCACAGTTACCAGCGAGTACAAATATGGGAAGTAGTATCTAACATAAAGTTTGAACATATTGATGGCTAGAGTCCTAATCCACATGCCTCGAATCTACAAAATATCTAGATATGTTATACTTCTAAGGAGAAGAAGAAAAAGAAGAGAGAATCAACATTATGGCTAGAATATTCAAATAATGACTTTGAAATGGTGAAGAAAATCGAAAGAGACTTCAAGCCAAAAACGTTATTTCTGTTCCTTTTAAAAAACATAAGTTATCTATGGAACTTTATAGATATTGCAACAGAGGTATATGGTTTTGGAGTTTGGCCATTCATATATAGCGACAAAATTTCTCTTAATACACCGGTCACAGAATGCAGTCATTATTAATTTCCAAAAGTTCTTAGAGAGAGGAAGATAATTGTCCATCGCATGGGCTTTCAGATTAATACATTGAAAGAATTAGTAACAAGGATAAATTATCAAAAAGCCGATCATAATTGCCATAAATTTACCATGTACTGGTTGTAGCGCTGGCCCTAGGACCAAGAGGTCCTGAGTTCTATTCCTGGCTAAGTGACCTGAGTTTGATGATCTTAAGCAATGGTCACCTGGGGCTGGGGTATAAGCCAAGGGATTAGTCCCGCAGGGTATTTGAAAATTGATAAATAAAAAATAAAAAAAAATTGCCATAGCATCATCACAAACTTCACTATCTATTAATACAGCTTGTGAGATCGCTTACCAATGAATTAAGATTATGCTGAATTCTGAATGGCCGGAGAAAAATTAGAACGGAAAAATATAAGCAATAATTTTAGACTCGCTAAAATTCTTTATTTTAACGCTCGTTTCCTTGTCGCTCAACAGAAATGTGCAAAACTGCAGTGAATATGACAGCCCATGATTACATAATTAGAAGAAACAAAATTAATTTAAGTTTTAGGTACCATTTTAAGAAATGTAAATTAATGAGTGAATAAGAAGACGTTGTATGTACTGCATTCTTCACAAACCGTGCATAACTTCTTGGTTACCAAGTTCAATGCTTAAATTTGTAGGAAAGAGGGAGTTAATTTTGAGTTGTCTGCAATAAAGAAAAGTGTGTAAATTTAAAAAAAAAAAAAAAATGATATCTAAGTACATGATTTCAACTCCTGGTACAAAAGGTCTTTGGGTAAAAGACCTTCCTGCCAAGAACATCATACAATTTAGTGTTAACTACCTGTACATGGAAAGAGAAATAAAAATTGAAGAGAAACAAAAAATGAATTAACAAAATTGCTAGAAGCTACTTCATGGCAAAGCTGACTGGGCGAACTGTAGTGCTACTTAAAGAAGATAGATTAAAAAACCCAAATTATTTTCTGTTAAAAATATCACAGAAGTAATCATACAAAAAATAATGGCTGACATGTAAATGTTAACTTTTTAACTGGATTTTCCTGATGGAAGTAAAGATACTGAATACAAATCATGACTTCATTCTGACTAAATTAGATCTTCTTTGAGCATTAATTTGATTGTTCTTGAAAGCTTTACTTGTATGTTTTAAGTGTAACCTGCTTATCAACATTAATTTCTCTGTTACATTTAACCTATGACTTCCTTTTTGTTCACTATTTCTTGGAATAGCTGGCAAAACTGAAATTACAAATTATTTAAATCAAGAGAGACAGAATTACCTTATAGACTGCATTTCAACAAATCTGTGAAAGTAATTGTACGTTTACTATTAAAAAATCTCGAAGGCAGTTCCACGTATGTTAACCACTCGATGATGCAAAATCTTAGGATTAAAAAGAAAACTACACAATGCGTACATCAGACCCTTGAATAAGTTCCACACTAAAAGGCAATAGGTAAGTTGCACTGGTTACAGAGTTGCGTTTTGATGGTTTAAGCTGATAGAATAGCAAAAAATAATGAGATCTGTTCACATGCCTACTTTTTACGTCCAACATTAATGGATATATCCCCCTTCTAACTAGTTGACGTTACAAGCATCTTCAACCTTGCGCTCTGATGTTAATTGACAAAACTTTTTTTAACAGTTTCAATGATTCCTTTCAATAACTTTTGATTCCATTCGCCTGAGTGTTTAAATATAAATTGATCTTGTGTCCAATCGATATTAAATTATCAAGCAGCTGTAATAATTCATACATACCAAATGGGACGTAAAGCTACAAAATTCTTCCAAAACCAGTTGCTAAAAATTACTGAACTTTGACTTGGTTCAATGACTAAGACAATTCACCAAGTACAAAATTGAATGCAAATATAATAATAATGGCCTATGATAAAAAGTGAGCAACACAAAGAATGGCCAGAAAACAGGAGGTGAGGACAATTGGAAGCTCTGCCTTCACATGCCTCCTTAATACAAAACATTTCACAAACATGATAGAGCGCAGCAGCTTAGAAATATTGTTAGGAACTATTGAACGACAGAGAAAACTAATGTCATAAACGTACATGTACACATGCTTGAATATTAGAAATCATCATCAATAAAATATAATTTAAACACGATCATTAACGTTTATTTACATGTTTGATTTTTAAAGAACAAATGATTCTGGTCTGTGTGGATTTGCGTACTGTAAAACTTCAGTTGGACAGAGCTCAACAGGTAAAAAAACTACATAGTCTAGTCTGCATGCTTGGTGATTCATAAATAGATGCGATAACCGTTTGAATAAAAACAGAAGCTACATAGTTCCTAATTGAAAAAATTCAGTTTTCAATTGTGGACTCGCTCTGTATTCTGGGAATATTTTTCTAGGATAATTTGTTGGGTTCTTTCTGATTTCATAGTTGACTACATGCTTTGAGGCAATGGCAAAAGATAGCCATTATTTAATGATGTTCACATATATAAAGATATGTGCTAAGGCTAGCACCAATTTAGTTGGCTAACTTTAAAAGTACAATGGACAATCTATAATTTTCATTATAGTATTTCGAAAGTGAGAGTCGTGACTTACTTCACTATTTTTCAATAATTGAAGACAGACCAAGACTGTTACTTCTTGAACAGACAAAAATGTAATCTCTCAAAGGATATTTCATTGACTAAAGTTTCACTGAACCTAAACAGATTATGCAAATGATCACATAAGAGTCAGACTTAAAACAAAATATTGCTTCAAATGCACTAATGCTTACAAACCTAACCAGTTTTACAAAAAACATGATGGGAAGGGAATAATGACAAGAGCAAATAATGATCAAAATAACCGAACGCACGGAACACTGGTTCTTAACCCAAGTTACCATGTAGCACCCGGATTCTTGATTCTGGAGTTAAGATCGGACAAAAACTAAAGATTAAAAAACTATGCAAAAAAGCTATGAAAGATAATGTACGTTCAAAATTATTGAGGTCAAAAGCAAAAGAACTGAGCAAAAAAATAGGGGGTAGGCCGTTTTTTTTTCATTTGTACCTGGCTTTGCACAAAAAAAATCCCACCCTTCCCTTCCTTAGGCTCTTTGTTTTCTAATCTAGTGTCTAGCATTTTTCTCTTTCTCTTCACTTGCTTCTTCTTGCGTCATCGGGATGGGCATTAAAAATAAAATGACAAAAAGGCCACTTACCTCTGTTTACTCCTTATGGCAAGAGAGAGAGCAAACTAGCAGGGATGCTAAAGAAATCCATGGACAAGTTTTTTTTATTTTTTTCCTCCCTCGGCAATTAATCCTACCTAGGAAAAACTCCAATTTCACCCTATCTTTGTACTTAATAATTTCCTACTTTTTTCCTCCAGCGCTTCGATGAAATAGACTGATCTTACCATTAACTTCTTGTCACTGACAATTGCGAAAACTTAGCTGATCAAAGAATATGATTTTTATCATTCATCTAATCTTTCCTTCAATGGCATAAGGTTTCAATTGGGTTTGAGCACTTTCAGCCTGAGGTTTAAATGTCGATTGCATTTATTGAAAGCTTCTTGTAAGAATTTTTGAGGTCGCCTACTGTCTCGCCATGCCTAAATTGAGATCTAATAAAATAGTGACATACACTTTCAGCTTTACTTTTCCTTCTCATTATTAGGCTAATAGGGCCAATCCCGTTTCTGACTTCAAGAGAGCATTTTTATTTCGCTTGGTCAAGACCAAGTCTAAAACATTGATCTCATATTGAAATTCAGTGCTTTCTTGGGTTGTGGGGATGCGGAGGATTCTTTGCTTCCCTATTTTTCAGATTAGCCCCCCTCCCCATTTTTAAAAACCCCAAAGTTTCCAAAGAGCTGACCCCCTTTTTTTGGCTCTGCACTTCCAAACAACTGCAATTTTGCAGATAACATGCTATCCATGAGCTTGCGCCAACCGCCCTTGCCATTTTAAAGACCCTTTCTTCCTCCCTTCCTGTTTTCATAGCCCATTCTTGGAGCCTTCCTCTTTTTACTTGTAACCGCGCCTGATCTGCCAGTCAGAGGGTCAAAAAATTTCTGCACACCCATTGGGCTGTACAGGCCAAAAATAACATCAAAATGTAATGAAGATGAAATACAAAATGAGTACAGTGGAGCCCGTATATAATGAACTTGCTTTTAACAAAGTTTCGGATATAACAATGTAATTTTCATTTTTCTAGTGCCTCCATATACACTCAATAGTAAAAAAACCCGCCTTTAACGAAGTCTCGGCAGCGGCACCGCGCATATAACGAAGTAATTTGCCGCCATTTCCGCTATTGTGTTCGGTATTTTCTGCTCTCTAGACGAGTTCCGCTCGATTGCGGTAAAACATGTGGTAGTAGCGCAGTCACAAAGTTACGAATAAAAGAGAATGAGCGATAACGAAGTGAGCGCTCACTGCACAGCCTGCCGCACATGTCTCACACCCCACTCTCTCACACTTGCAGTCTGCTTTTAACGAAGTTCCGGATATAACAAAGTTTTTCTGGGAACTGTGAACTTCATTATACATGGGCTCCACTGTAGTTAATTGAAGAAACACATTGAAACATAGGGAAACTCTCTCTCCTTATTTTAGTGAAGACACCGTACTTTGAAGCAGAGATTTCGACAGCAAAAGCATTAAAATAATGTCAACCAAGTCTCGATCACAGGACCATCCAAGGGTAGGATTGATTTAGGCCCCAGTAGACAACAATAAGTTCGGAATCAGTAACAAAGAGAAATACAAATCCTAACAGCTTTAAAATTAATGAAGACTCCACAAATCTTACTCAGTTGCTTTGACTTGGACTTGACCCATTACTTTCCCTTCCCATAATGGCAGCACTTCATTATCATCAAAAATCTCTTCTTGAATGACTTTGATATCAGGGTCATCACATTTTGTTTTGAAAAAGTACCTGCAACAAAAGAGACAGTATCTTAGTTTTACGAGCATATAAATGAAATAAAAACAAGAGCAAATAATGTCCTTTCAAGATTATGATAATGCTATGTCTATGAAGAGAGGAAAATCATTTTGGATCAAATATGCTTTTGTTTGATATACGGAGAGGAAAATTACATTGTGAGTAAGAAAAAGTGTGATGTTTGATGGTTTATTTTCTTAAGACATATTTGTGATTACTGAAATTGTGGACACGGTTTCGATTCGGGTAGTGTTAAGATTAATAAAATTAGCAAGCCAGGCGCTTGCTAATTTTTTCTCTTTACTCTTATCTTTCATATTCTATTTTTGTCCCTGATTTTTGCAAAGCTGTCACTTAAAGTTTTTCGCTTGTTTAACTGGTGCAGTTTGCTGGAAGTAGTATATTTTTGCTTGTATATATTTAATAGCTAAAATCTTCAGGCTTGTTCCCTGCATGTTACTTATAGTTGTGAATGATAAAAATTATGATAATAATAAAAAATCTACGTTTTATAATTGTAAAGACTGAAAGCCAAAAACTCACAAATATTTGTGTACAAAAAGCTTACCTGAAAGCGCCTTTCTTAGGCAGAAAATCTTTGAACTGCTTCAAAGTGACAGGATTGCTTGGTATTTTCGTCCTGTAGGGCACTTCATCGTTACAAAACGAATATACAACTATTGTGCAGTTGTCATCGCCAGTAGCACTGGACGAGGCAGAGTATTGCATAGGAGGTTTGTCGCTGGGAGGCATCATGTTTGATTGACTAGCCATGCTCCTGCGCAGCGTTGACGGATAACTAGACTGAGGTAGATCTGCTCCTTTGCTGCTCCCCATGTGCCTTGAGAAAAGAATAAGAAAAAAGCCAAGTGAAAAGAAGAGCACATTGACATGGTTTGTACTCTCATTAATGGATCCCATTAAGCAAAAAGGAGCCAATGCAATTACAAAGTTTCAAAATTGTGCAACTTCTTCTTCGCTGTAAAAAAAACTAAACACATGTACAGTAATATGATTAACATGAGAGGCAATTCACAATTTCCACTCTGTGATGTTTAAAAGTCTCCGATTAAGTTTTATTTTCTTTAATCAAAAGCTAACAACAATATATTCTTGAAACTTTCAGTGAATATTTACATGTAAGGAAAACTTATCAAAAATTTCAAGAAAAATTTTTGGTTGGTTTTCCTTTAGAAAAATAACAATTAATGAAAGTTTTACAAGATCACGATCATATTTGCATATTTTCAACGGTAGCCATCAATCAGGAGAAATGGATTAATAATGCTTAGAGATAAAGTTAAGAAGATGAATAGAGGGGCAATCTGACGAGGATTACATACCTAGGTCGGAAATTTCGGCACCTGTCAGCGTTGCTCTCGCTTAACCTTCTGCTGACCTCATCAGATTGGGCAAAAGAATAGGGAACATCATGTAGAGGCATCGATGAATCCGCCATGAATGGCTGAATTGGTACAGAGTGTGGGAGCCTTTTGAGAGAATGACATTGCTCGGAAGATATAGAGCGTTGTGCTAAAAATTCAAAACAAATTTTTCCAATTACATACAATAATTTTTTTGCTTTCATTTAAAACAACATATTCAAGTTTCATTTCATTCATGGATTGAGTTTTTCCCCAGACATGTCAGTTTCTCCACACGAAAAATATATCCAATTAATTTCGGGATAAGTTGGAATCTTAGGGATCGTCTGAAATGGAACTTCCCTATTCTTGGGTTATTTTATCGGATCATCAAGTTTTTTAGCATTGAGTCAGACAAAACTGCAGTATTGCCGACAAAAATTTGCTAACATGAGGCGTATGTTTCAGTGCTTACAATACAGGCCATCAGAAAAAGTAGGGAATCTCATATCAACAACATGGGTCATCTGACGTAGCTTGGAACTGTAGCCTTCCTTAACCATATAATGGCTGTGTTGCTGTTTATATACTTTCCAAAATTTTAAATTTGTTTACTTAGAAGTTATATAGTTTTGGGAATAAGGTAAGTGCCTCAGTTGCAGCCTCTGACTAAATTACAGTCTGCAAAAAAAAAACAATAATTTAAACACACTGGGGGAACAATATTTGATTCTGATGTAATTTTTAATGCTGAATCCGAAAATGACCACGATTTTTCCTCTATACCCACAACTTTTCTAGTAAATAAAGATTTTTTATATAAACGGGTTTTTCCAAGGAAATTTAAATTTGCCAGGTAATAGGTGTATGAAAGGGAAGAACCAAGGTCATTTTTGAACTTAGCAGCCCAATATATGTACAATGTTTTCCTGGACAAATGGCATAATCTGCCCATATACTTCAATGTTATACTGATTCGTTAGTTTGGTTTCTGAATGGACAGGAAAATGATTAAATTCAGGTATCTGATTGGTCTACTCGCATAAACTTTTTACGGCTGATGTCGAAAATGACCTTAGTGTCTTTCCATCACCTACACATTTTCTGGAAAAACAAATTTTCTAAAAACAGGCATTTTTTGGCCCTGAAAAAAGCATTTACTGGTAAATTTGAAGTTTCGAAAAATTAGTGGGTGGTGGAAAAAAATCCATTTCGGTCAATTTTGACTTTGGCGACCAAATGTAAAGAGGAGTGGACCCCATGGGACATCTGAGTTAAATCCCCAGCATTCTTTAAGGATCAACTTATGTTACCTTTGGTCATCTTCCTTATGATATACTTAAGTCATCTCATCAGGAGGAATTTCATTGATTTAGGAATAGGAGAAGGAGAAATACAATTTGGTGAATCAAACCAGGTAACGATTTTCATCCCTTGTTGGTCGAACATTTGAAGATTGATCTCAATCGGGGTCCCTACAGGGGACCAGAGGATCAGTCCGTTAAATTGTTGAATCCTTTAAATCTCAGATTGGTGAATATGTTAAGTCTTAAAATCTGATAAATTTGAGAATCCATGAAATTGCAAGGTCTATTCAATTGCAGAATCTCCTACATCATGACTTGATAAATCAAGGTTTTACTATATGCAGTTTAAATACATGAGTGCAGTGTGTAAAAAGATGCAAAACTTACGCAAGGTTTTACTTCCAGAGGAACTTGTAGCAAAGGTTCGTAGGCGGTTCCTAAAAAATAAAAATAAACCAAGAAGTTTTAGTTATTGTTTCATTTCGAGATTTAAAAAAGAAAATATTTAGAAAACAAGATGATTCAATTAGGATGAGATTTCATCCCACATACATCAAAGGTAATTTTTTCGGCTAAAGTTCAGTGGGATACAATCCCAGGATGATTTGGCAGCTACCCCTAAATAGATTTTGGGAGCACTCGTACAAGAACCAAAATTCTCTAACAAACGGTGACACTTTGAAAGGGTGCCTGAGAATCAAAAGAATTTACTTACTTGTCTTTGAATGGTATCACGGGAGGCGTATCGCTAACCACGCTGACTCCACTGTCTGTCAGATCCCCAGGTTTTTTACTATTCCACCATCTGCTGGAGCTGCGATGACCTACAAACAAAACAATAGATTATGACATTAAGTAAATGAAAAATGAAATCTGTTACAACCGAGAGGACCTAAATTGGAGTTGTCACGCGAACATAATTAAGATAAGTTCTTTCAGCCTTCTTTTAATCTTAAAATGTAATAAAGAATACTTGGTTTTGTTCATTTTATTAGCATGGGGAAATCCAATTGAAAGCCATGACTTGAATTGTGTTGGAGTCCATATCAAGGATATTGGCATCAGATTCTGAAAACTGAAGTCACGAATTAGGCTCCAAAAGTTTGCTCGGCACTTTAGGAGGCGATTGAGAGAAAGTGTAAATAAATACTACTTTTCTTATACTTGAGACAGAGCAGGTTCTAGTACTGGATTAAAATCCTGAATCACTGAATCACCGGAGTCAGAATCTGTTCGCAAAACCGCTCAGGTTCTCATCCCTGCGTCAAAATGACTGTAACAGCAAAATTGGCCTGGAAAAAGCCTAGCGAACCAGTCACACAAATAAGATATTCACACTGGTTGAATAATTTGTATACTTTTTGTCCAGGAGACCATGAGGGTTAATTTAGTTCATCAGCATACCTTATGAATTATGAATTTTTGACTCGAAAAGACACCTGACTAAATATGACTAAAGCAGAAAGAAATTTTACTTTGAATTTCCTTTAGAGGAGCTTCTTAATAACACTGAAAGAAATATATGAGATAACATAGTTGGTGTGGAATTGTTGACTTACTTGTATTCATAAACGTAGAGTCAGGTTTTGGTTGGTCAAGAGAGTGAGCGTAATCTGGCATCGATTTACTTTTAGGTAGGTAATGCGACGAATGAGATGGAGAGTAATGGTAATGTTCCGAGCCTTCTGATAAGTCATGGATGTTTCCTGAGTCCACAGAGACAATTGAAATACCATCCTGCATAAAACACCAACATCCAGAAATTTATAAATTGATCAAAATTTCAAAAATTAAGGATAGTTCTTTAATTTTTGACACAATAGGTTAAATTTAAGTTTCATAATAAGGCTTTTCAATGGTAATCATGTAAAGATTCAGTATAATTGCAATTCCATAAAGACTAATTCCATTTTTCAAGTGATTTTTGTATTTGTTGGTAATATCAAACATACATACTACCTACCTTGAAAATTAAAAAAAAAATACAAAAGGAAAGGGAAAATTTTTATGGAAGTGAAAACTTATACGAGCTCACTTGAAATGAATTGGCAATTGTTTGCTTCGACAGTAGTGCGAAGTAGACCGTTTTACGTTGATGTGCTAGGTGGCAAAAATGCCTGCAGTCAAACTTTGATTGCTAATTCACAAAAGCAGAATAGACATTGCAAGCAAGAAATGGTCAACTAGCAACTTTGCAGATAGGAATTAAATTCTGTCAGAATGTAAAATACTAATCGTGTTTCCAAAATATTGCTTTCAGGAGGTTAATTGACGGTTCTTTTTTTTCCTATGATAAAAGATTGCTCATCGATATGCTACAAAATGTAGGTGCTCATCTAACAACTGCTTACAGTGGAACCTCGATAAGTTGGTTCCGACCGGACGACGGGAAATTGCTGACTTAAACGGGTTTCCTCTTTTTCTGATCCGCGAATTCAGATTTCACGCTTGGAGACCCTACTGCACAATGCGGCAGGAAATCTTAATCTGATGTATTTCTCTCTAATGGGAGCAACCAAAGTGACGTCACACTGTGTCAATATTATGTCACACTGGCTATGCAAACAACAATCATAACATAACCTAACTGCAGGGTCGTTTCCACACGTCTTAATTTATATAATATACTTTAATTGATCGCGAGGTGAGAAGTAAAAATGAACAAATTGGAAAGAAACAAAGGTAGACTTTACAAAGTGGGAGAAAACCTAGTTAAAAGGTTATTTATTTCAGTCGCGATCCAAAAATTGTACAGACTTAGGCGGGTTTCCAATTTACACGATCCTGAGTTATACGGTTTTCTACCATTGTGGTATATAAGGCAATAAACAAGACCGGCCCATTGTGCTGGCTCATGCGGGTTTCCGGCTTATACACGTACCGACTTAGCGAGGTTTCACTGTACTACAGTTGCCATAAGTAACTACTTACTACTAACTAAAATTGTTTTGATTCAAAAATTGGCAAGTTATATGTTCTTTAGAATGGAAATACAGAACATTACCTTGTCTTTTTTACGTGATGAGCGTGAAGTATTATAGGGATATGAACTGATGCCATGCGCAGGAACAGGGGGTGGTGCCATTGAGTTTGAAAGAGATAACTGTTGAAAAATAAAAAAATATAAAACAATTAAATAATTGGAGTACTGCTCTTGACTGTATCAGTTCCGATTAGTTTCTGGTCTTGCTTATACTCAACAACTAAAGCTATTGCGAAGCATAAGCCGTCCAACTTGCTATTTCAATTTTATCCAATTAGTAGCCCCAATTTTATAACGTTGAAAGCAAACATTACAATAATATTAAAATTCAAAATTGCTCTACCTTTAGGTCATTGATGAAAAGGATTTAAAAAATGTCAAAAACATTTTTGGTAATTTTTTTTTATTGTAATGCCGAATTTTTAATTATGATATTTCTGTGCTCAAACTAAGAATGTGATTGATTAGAAAATTCCTAGCAGAAAAATTCATCTGTAGATTATTTTTTTTTCTAAGCTTCGATGGATAGGGACTGTTTCTTCACTCTGTCTTTTTAATGGTGAAATCCTTCGATTGGTTCAAATGCAAGAAGCGTTTTGAAAGTATGAGGCACAAAAGCTACAGTAAGACCTCGATTTATCAGATTTTATGGGACTGACCAATTGATCCTTTAAATCGGGATTTGATAAATCGAGGTCTTCCTGTGATTGCATACACACTAAAATCTTAGTCTGCCTGGGAATGATTTTAATGACTATTTTCTTACGATTATTTATCTTAGAAAAGTTGGAAAAATAAATGGTTCATCAGTCACCAATTGTTTTATTACCCACTGTCAATCCATTATCGAGAGTTATGCATCATAAAAATTTTAACCACAATCAGCAGTTTAGTCAAGGTTCAGTTTGGATAAAAACTTAGCTTCCGAACAGCCCTGAATAATTTTTACTGTTTATGTGTAGCTTCAAAAGTTAAAATGCATTTGGCAAGTTGAACATGGGATTTAAAAGGTGTGCTTGAAGAAAATTGGTTGGGAAATAGAAGTGACTGGGATGAATTTGAGGAAAGATTGATCTTACCGAAGTTGAAGTTGAGTTGAAAGCTGATCTACTTCGACGGCAGGGTAACTCAGGAGATTTATTCCTGGGGGGTGATTTTGGATTAGGAGTCTCAACAGGCGTTTGATCAGATGAAAAGACCCGCTTACAATGTTTGTCTGAAAGGAAAATTTTTTTTCATAATGAATTGACTTCCCAGAAATTAACCCCCTTTGCAAAAAAATTCTTTACATACAATGACTACAAAAAGGGTAAAAAGGTTTTTTTTTTTTTTTTTTTTTTTTTTTATTAAATAACTTGCTCACCTTTCTTCAGCTTTTCAAGGTTTCTGGAGAGTACATTTTCTGATTTCCAAAAAAGATTAGAATGAAAAAGCTTTTCATTTAACTACTTAGGTGCTAAGTTTGTACTCTATTTTCAGTAATTATTAATAATTAGATTTGTAATAAATTATCAATAATTAGAGCAAACACGCCCTAGCCATTCAAAAGTCTTAAAGGTACTAAACAATTCAAGGTTCAAATAGAAGTTTCCTGATTTTTCACAGTTCAGTAAAACTTACTGACTTTTCTAGTTGGTCCTGGACATTCCAAGAGCTAGTCTCACTGTCAATAGTACTTAAGAAGACAGGTCAATATCCTAAGATGATGATGAAGCAAACTTTAGCGTTTCACAGCATTGGCAAAGCATGAATTGATCTTTGCTTCTCCATTTGAAGCTATGGCAAAGATCTAATTATTGGGGCGTCTGTTGCCAACAACCTGATGACTAATTTTCCCCATTGGTTAGAATGGCAGATTAATTGACTCATCACAGAGCATGCCACGCCACTATTTCACAGAGAGGAATAGTAATAGTTGATTATCTAGCCAATTCAGGATGGAAAATATCACGGGAGGCTGGTTGAAATTTTTTCAGTTTTCTATGGTCTTTGCCAGAAGTTTCAGAATTTTGCCATGTACGATGAGCTAGTATTGTGCAAACAGAAACATGGTATTAAAGGTGGTATTGTGTACTAAAGTTATTGTTGTTGATATGTACCTAATATATCCTGAGAATTTTCTTCCACCAACTGAAGCGCATCTTTGTTGATAACTTTTACAAGCTCTGCCCTGAGATCATCTGGTCTCAACGTTTCATTTAAATCCTTGCGTTCTGGTACGATGTCACTGGCTTCAAGCTTTTTCTTCAATAGCTCCTCACTTTCAAGTTTTTTCGCATACTCTTCCAACTTGGCTGCTGCCTCGTACAGTAACTCGTTCGTTGGCAACGGTAGCTGGCGGTTTTCTTTTTGTGTAAGAGGCACCTGCCCAACCATCACATTATCTTTGTTCAATTTTTTCCCTTCATTCAAATTTTTATGGTTCGACCGGCGCACAAACCTGCTCAGGCTTGACGTTCCATCCCTGGAAACAAATTAATAAAATCAAGTGCTATTGTTTTTCATTTGAGATGTTAAATTATTGATGGTTTCTGAGTTTAAAAAATCCGAAAAAAAAGTCAAATTATTTCAAGGATTCAGCATCTCTCTTACAACTCAGGCGGTTTTGATAAAAACTGAAGGGTTTATAACTAGTGGGTTTTATAAATTATCTAATGTAAAAAGATATCTGGCTTGTCGCAACATTCTTCCCTTTTCAAGATATTTATTTAAGAATTATAGCATACCCAATACAACTCACGATTACTACTCAAAAGCTATTCTTAAAAGAATTGTTACTTGCTTAAGAAATCCTGGCACTGTTTATTTTTTATTTACTTATAAAGATTAGTACATTGGCCTGAACGTAAATTAGCCTGTTCGTCCTGCAGAGCGGATTCAAGAGTTTGAGCAATTCATTTATAGAGGACTGATTCATAAATGAACATAGGGCCCATTTAAGTAATTGGATGACAAAATTAAACATTCCCATTAATTTTACATTAAATTACTTCATATTTACTCAATTCACCATATCCTTCATCCCTGACTTGCTATTCTTTTTTTTTAAATTTTGTTTTGTATCCATTATTTTGTTTTTATTTGCAATGATGCAAAACAGCAAACAGATGCACTTTCATGAATTTCAGGTAAATTCTAGGAAGAAACGGTTCTTCTTCTAGGGATGTTTCTGACTAGAGTAGACTCACATTGCTAAGTCAAGCTTGCATCCCTGCTTGGGAAAAAAAGAGATTGAGGCATACTGAAGTAAAGTCCTTTTAGTGTTGAGACCCACAGGGCTAGTATTCTTATTTAATCCAGGGCTGATCAGCAAACTGGAAGTAGCTCCCTTTGCTTTAAAATAGCTCAATTTAGGTGATAGGAGGTTTTACAAGTAATACTTACATGCTCCCATCTGTAATGGATAAATCTGATTCTGTTCTGGCATCACTATCTTGACTTGAGACTGGATTGCAAGAAATATATTGGGGGTGTATTGTTTTCGTGTGATAAGGACTGGGAAGCATTCTGTAATCGCAACGAACATGCAAAATAACAACAAACACAAATTTAAAACTACTCTAAGATACATGAGTAAGACACAAATACAAAAGCATACAAAACATCAAACAAAGAACATGTCAATTTAAGCAGTAGAATTAGAGCAATCGCTAAATAGATTGCTTTGTTCATGACTTTCTTATAGGTTTTTGAGAACACATGTTGCTAAAGCACATCTTCGTAAACACTTTTGATGATCATGATTTTTGGTATGCAGTGTTTAAAACAGTTTAAAGGTATACAAGAATAGAGGTGGATAGAGGAAGGATACCCTAGAGAGATACAAATAAATTGACGAACTTCAACTCCTAGGCATAAGAGAAACCAAGGAAAAATCAGTGATTTTTCATGATTCTCCTGGTATTGAAACATTTCAGTTTGGTAAATTCGTAAAACTTCAGTGCTAAATATAGAGCAGTAACAAGAGAGCAGAGAGCCAAGGAACAGAGAAAATACAGGAGGTGTCCAAAAAGTACCCTGACTGACTAGTTCTGTAGTTCAAAATTACGCCAGCTAGAGGCTTGATCTTAAGACTCATGGGATAAATTACTTATTAGAGATCCTGTGTAAAAGAGGTTATGATGGGTCTGGGTTTGTAAAGCAGAAGAGTTTGTAGCTTTAAACGATTCAACCACACGAACATAATGATTCTAGTATCGTTTCAAGGATCGCACTCTGCATCTGCGACTCTATTAGGAAGTTGAATGATTCTAGTTGAAAAATTTCAAGATTACTTGAGAAGAAAAGACGTTTGGGCCACATTTATGAAAAAAATCAAGAAAAACTAGCATATGGGGTGGATAAAGTCAACCATAACATAATTAATCTCGAGTCCCCAAAAAATACTGACAGACTTAAATGAAAATGACTGAATTAAATTAAGAACATTCACAATGCATGCTTAATAAGTAAGAAATATCAACGAGAAGATTCCACCTTTCTATCTTTTACACCTTTTTCAGAGAAAATACATTATTCAGTTTAAAGTAATGTGTCACATGACAAGCATTATGGATGAGAAATTCCAATAAAAACAGCAGCATTACTACTTTGTGTTTTACTTAGTCTCTTGCACTCAAAGTATGCAAAGAGTAAGAAATAAATTAGTGGCCATTTATAGGAATATGATTTACTAGGATTTTCCAGTCTAATGGCAAGCCTGTTACTTCATGTGAACTGCTGGTAAAATTGAGCACATAATTTTTTCCCTACCATCAACGATCATCTCACCAATTAGGAAACTAAATTCTGCTATGGAATTCTAGTAACATAAGATTTCGTTTGAAAATCAAGCACCAAATGTTGCTCTTCATCAAACATTCTCCAAGAGGCCATAGCAGTTTCCACAAATAAATTTGCAAAAACACAACACAAAAAAATCACAATTAATAATACACAGCATATCATTTGATTGGAAAACTGATTGAATCTGTTTTGATGTGCAATTTGATTCGTGCAGACTGTGCAAGCATGACACTCTACATTTTGGTAACTATTACAATACTCTCCAATGCAGACTAAAGAGGTAAAAATTTCATTCCGGAGATAGTGAACTATATTTTCACTACGCTCATAATTTCTTACATAAAATCCTGATGAGGAAACATGTAAAATAATTCATAAATTCTTCGCCTGTCTTACTTTAGTAAACTCAAGTTTAGTAAACATAGTAGGCCTAAACTTTAGTTTGTTTTAAAGCTGTATAAGTATGATCAACATGCGGCTTTTTACATTTTTGCTCTACCTGTAATAACTGCTTAGGAAAAAAATAGGAAAACTCATTCAGATACCTGTGTAGTTGTGTATTTCCTTCAACTCTTAAGAATTTGGGACAAAAAATAAATTAAAAAAATCCATATGCAAGGTTTCAGCTTAGAACTTTAAGTGCTTGCATAGAAAAAAAAAAAAAAAAAAAAAAAAAAAAAAAAAAATGAAAATTTGTCATGAATTCATAGTAACTGGTGGATGAAAGCATAGATATTCTTGCACAAGTATGGGAAAAACAGAATGAAAATTGAAAAATAGAAAATGGTACATACTTGGGAGCAGTTTCCAGTCTTCGGCTTTGCGTTTTGAGAAGAGCGTCTCTGGTCAGCGGGAGTTTGACAGGCGTTTTGGTGACAAGCTCCTTGCCCTCGTGCACTGTTGATAGACTGTTTGTCATGTATCCTAATTCATGGTCATCTTTCACGCTACTAGAACTACTACTAGCACTACCATCACTAAACAGAAAAACACGCAATGTTGATACTTCTAAAAGCTTCATCAGGGTGTTTGCCATCTTTAAGGACATTTCTAAATATGAAACTGAGAAAAGCGCAAGTCTTTCACAATGACAGTTTGAACAAAACGGTTTTGAAGGAGGCGAGAGGTCTGAGAGGTTGATACATATTATAAAATGACGGTGATAATTGAATGAGTCAGTTTTATTGGTTACAGAATTGAGTTTTGATGGTTACAACTTACCGACTACCTGAGAATAATGATGTTTGTCCTGGTTGTACAAATACAACAACCACTATTAACATAGGTGACACCGGATGTAGAGTATGCTTGTATGTTGAGACACGAGTCAAATCTCGTTAGAATCGGCACTCATTAAAAGTACCATCTAAATGCATATGTTGATTTATTGAGTGATGCTTCTTGGGGACTAATCAGAGATTGACATTTGTCTTAGCATATGATGAGTGAGCTCTAATTACATGATAGATGACATCCTCAACCACAGTAGAGAGAACATGCTGGGATTCCTTCAACCTTCATTTATGAAAGAGATTTGAAGCGCGACTGTTATGAGAATGTGCCTCATTGATTAATGAATCCAAGTAGAGCAAATTTCATGGTATAGTATACCAAGGTGGATATTTCCATGTTTATCGAAGAGTGATATTTCTGTTCACATCTGATGAAAAATCAAAGCACTTCGATAGGTCTGTTTGCATTTTGGTATCAAGTTGATTCAACAACCAGAACTTGATACTACAACTAGCACAATTGATTCAGTGGACTTTTTCATATTCATTGCCAGAATGAGTAAGTGTCATGCCTTGCTGACTTAAAAATTGTCTTCAGGTAAGGTGAAAGCTGAGTTGTCGTTAAGACCTCGGGCGGGGTTTTGAGATGGAAGTGTGGTAGGCTTGACAAATCTTGAGTGCTGCTATCCTGGGAATCTTCAAGGCTAGAATTTTCACTGCTGCGCTCTGTTACCTTTCCAGCCGTTTCCAGTTTGTTTTGGGCCGTAAGTCCATTAGGCAGAAGAATGCAGCAATAACAAAACCGTATAAACTCTAAAAACTCTTTGACTTTCACCAATACTTTGTACTGACATTATAATGAAAAAAATATCAACTACAAAACTGATATGGCTGAAATAACATTGGGATACACTTAGCAAATGTTATAGATTCTACCTGAATTCAAGGCAAAAATCATTCTTAGATCTACTTCATGAGACTTTTTAGGCTCCTGATGTATATTTAAGTTATTTTTACCGGGTGTCTGTTTTCATTTGTCACATTTGTTTCCTATTCAGCCTTAAGAACTTGATGTTTTGAGTATCTAGAAATATCTGAATGGCAAACACCCTGTTTTCTAGACAGGCAAGAATTCGTAAAAACCGAACTATAAAATGAAATGCAGAACTATAAGCTACAAAACTGCAACCATGAAAGATGAGATAGTGAGGAAAGAAAACTGAATGAAATGGGATAAAAGCAAGAGCTTACCGATCGTTGATTGGCATGGAGAGAGAATAATTAAGGCAAAGTGGCGAATTCAAAAAGGCTAAGTAAGATGTTTTGCTGATCATATCAAGCATGAAGGCATAGGCTTCCTCAAATATTGACTTCAGACTGGTGTTCCTCCGAAGTGTGCTGCGTTCATTGATTTGATGACTTAATCGTTCTCGCATTTCTGCTGGGAATCCTAAATTTCTTTCTCTAAAATATTTTCTGGAGCAAGAGAAAATAAAGAAAACAATTTAGTGATTGACAAAACAATACGTGCTATGGTTAATCAGGTTTCCAATTGTGTTATCTTTTAATGTAGGAAAAGGAGAGAGTCCACTTTCCGACCAATTTTGGCATTGTCAGGGTTTATAACTGCTTTCCTGGACCAAAATTAAAAGTTTACAAGGACTTACCATGGAACTCTATTTGGTAGAATTACAGTTTTTCCAAGATCTACCGAGGACTTAAGAAATTTTTTTTTAGAGCTTTCAAGGATGTACAACACAATTTTGAGGGAATTGAACAAATCTTATAAATGGAGGTTTTCTTCCTCTAAACCTTCATTCTCTGCTACCGAAGAAAAAAAATGTGGTGCAAAGAAAAACCAATTAATAGTATTGGAAATCTTAACAGAAAACAAAAAAATAAAAATCCTTCCAAATGGTCATGAACAAGTAAACAGATAATGCAAAACTTAAGAACTTTCAATTACTTTCCAGAAATATTCCCAAGTACAAGAACACTTATGCACTTCAAAGTTAAAAAAAAATGGGTGTTCGGGGTTTTTTCAGGGGGTTGCAAATTCTGCGCACTTGAAAAAAGCTGCATGAAAAACTGAAGAAGTACGTACCACCTAAATTTCATTACTACCTATTTCATGTAGTATTCTCTAAAACCTAAGAAAAATAAACTTTTACAATTGCATTTTCTATGTGTCAACATTGAGAAGAGTGAGGCTGGAACATGAATTTTTTAGCATTCTTAAACATATTTTGCATGGAAAAATGGGCCTCAAGGTATGTGCATTTTGATGCGGCACAGAATGCTTTTATCATTTGAAAGAATTAGATTCTTTTCATCCGTCTCATCTTCTCAGGCAGCGATGGAAGAGAAGCTGTCCTCAGACACTAATCTCATGTATCAAAATTCCTATTAAATAATGCGTAATAGGGCTTTAATAAAAAAATCACTTTTCAGCACTACTTTTCTCAAATTTACACATAGAAAGTTAAATTTTACAGCTTATCAAATAAAGGAGGTCGCAAAGAATATCAAATGAAACAAAATTTGGCTGGCGTCAGAGCCTTTTGGTATTCCATTTGAAGCCTCTTCCTAGATTTTGGACCGGTTCAATATCACATTTGCAACCCCTTAAAGGATTTTCTTGAGAGAGCATCCTGCAGAGATTGACCTCCCTTTTCCCAATTTCCTGATTTTGGAGTAAAAATTTGTACCTAAGATTTCCTGTTTTTTCCCTTCTTTTCAGTCCTGTGGGCACCTCGCACTAAACTTTAAGCAATAGCGCAACGAAAAAGAGACATTTATTCAGGAGCTGAGACCAACTTACTTATAGATAGCTCTGACTATTTGTTGAACAGATTCTGGTTCCTGAGTTTTAAGGCCAGCACATGCAAAACAAAATTGGAGTTTTTCTAATTCTAACTGGTCACAATGGTCTTGGAGGAAGCTCGTGAACAGATTGACACCTTCAACGTCATCGAGTAAGAACTTTACATCTTTTGACCAGAGATGATGTGGAGGTGATGAACGTTGAGGAAGAGGTTTCCGATTTCGTTCTAGTGTGTTTGTGTATCGATAAGGAGAGCTCCTTCCGCAGCTTCCGTCTGCTTCGTATGCTAAGGGGACAAAGCCCTCTGTCAAAGAAAAAAAATTGATTACTGCTACCAAAAGAGCTTAAAAAACTTTCATTGTGAACATTCATTTCAAGAGTCATTATTAGAACCGAACTGTTCAATGCTTTGAGTATCAAGTCAAACATTAGCTAATTCAATAAATTGGCGCTATTGAGCATATTATTTTGAATGTGTTGTTTCAAAAAGAGCCAAGCTCTATGAGAACAAAGTGGAGGCAAGATACAGATAAAACCCAATGTTTTATAGAGCCCCCAAAGAAAAAGGTTTTACCCATTGCCAGAGGTCAGTTGAGGGTTTCTACTTATCTGTGAAACAAAGAAATTATTTCAATTCTCTGAGTTCAGGATTCCTCAAAACAACAAGTTCACATATTCTTCCTGCTGAAAATTTTGTTCCTTTGTAATTATTATTTTTTGTTACAAAAATGTTACAGCATTTTCTTTCAGCTCTTATTTTTTGTTTTAAATGTTTAAATTGGTACCACTGTCACCTTTAATTTTTCTTTCAGTCTGCAGGAGTATATAACTTCTATCGTGATAAAAAAAGATTACTGTAGTAGATAAATAGGCATTTTAGGATTCTCTAGCTGGTTCGCTACCTTTTCACTATCAAATTCTTGTTCATCTGAGTGCTGTCAAGACTTAGAAACAAAAATTACCTGATAAATCTTTGGAGCTCATGGCTAATTGCCGAGGACGGGGGGGCAGTTCCGGTACCCATGTCGACTCTTCTTCGCTACTTTTTAAATCTTCACCTACAATAAAAAAAAAAACTTTAGAGATTATATCAATGACTACCAACGATTGGAAGGATGAGGGAATGTTATAATTCAGGTATTAATAAAAAGATTATTAAAATCCGAAATAATTCTTCACACCAAAGACTGCTTAAAAATCTGAAGATTTCTTGGTGTTGTTTTCATTTACAAGAACAATTTTCGCTAGAGGTCACCAGTAAAAATCTCCTCTTTAGCTCCTTTTTGAACAGTTTCTAAATCAATTAGTATACTTCATGCACCAGCTTTCTTGTCATCTGATAAAGGAAATTGGTTATTTAATGCTATATGCAGTGCCGACAGATCTGTCATGCTCCAGAAAAATTCTGGGTACTAGTTTGGACGTTCAAGATTTCTGAACATCCTTACTGTAAGAGATCAAAAACAGACGTCAATAAAAATTTCATGCTTTATAATTTATGAAATGACAATTGGTACAAAAAGGTTTGACAGAATTGTCTAACAATATGCATAAAAACGTGTTTCCAAATTTTCTTAGGTATTTATTCAAGAGCTAATCTATAAGTAACTATTGAGGAAAATATTTGTGTTGTTGTTGTTGTTCTCACCAGAAATAACTGAAGGTCGAGCTGAATTACTGCTAAGAGAGTGGTGAATTGTCGAACGGCTGGCAACGGCTGAAGGCAAGGTTGATTTATCAGCAGTGCTCATGATAGGCGGCAAAAGCAAAGGTGATATTGTTATATGCCTTAGGGCAAAGCGAGGACATTGCAATGCTTCTGAAACAAAATGATAAAAATGATTTTTAAAATCAAAGTTTTAATTATTTGAAGGAGGAATTCGATTGAGGTATAACTGCAGATTTCGGTTCTACATTTTGCTACTACATCAATACATCGCCAAATCCGACATTTTCAAACATTTCTGTCTTTCATTAGATATTAATAAGAAGTAAGTTGAGCTATCTTGATAAGATAATAATAGTTTAAGAAATAAGGGAGTTTTTTCACCTGATCAGAAAAAATATTGTGATTTTATATTTTATTTCTGGCATTTGAAAAGAATTAATTAATTGGTACTTAGGTACTTTTCTTGAAACGTTCATTTGTTTTTAAATCGGGGGATCTAGCAAATTAAAAGAAAACAAATTCCTGACAATTTCCTGCCTTCCCTGACAAAAACTGCCAAAAATGGGGAAAAATTTGGAATTCCCTGACGAACAGGAAAAATATTCCCAATTTTTCGACACAGTTTAACTGATTAAATGTATGTAAGAATTTTTTCATGTTAAAGGAATATAGTTTAATAAATAGAGCAGAACATATTATGGTGCCTAAACTTGTGCGAGATATTTTTGCCTCGTTTTTAAAAGTCAAAACACGCCAGAAGGATTTCTAGTGGAAATTTTGGCCGAAATATTCACAAGAGTAGAATTCGTGAAAAATTTTCAGAAAATCCGAGTTTTCCGATTTCCTTGACACAGAAGAAAATTCCCTGACCTTTCCTGGTCGATAGACACCTTGGAAGTAATAAAACTTTAAAAGGTCTGCTACTCTGCCAAAATCTAGATTGGTAAAAGGGTTTGGGCGAAAAAACTATAGGATTCTCAAGAAAATTTCCATCCAAATCCTCATCGCCCACCTGTTAAAAATATTGGGTGCCCCTTGTTTTATTTGTTCAATTTGTTTTTTTTTTTTTTTGTCTTGTAAAAATTAGAACATTCCTGATGTTTTTGATGTTTACACATTCAGGTATGCAAAGAAACTGCAACTTTTCAATATTATGCAGCGAATTTATTATTCTTGAGAGAAAAGGATATGCGAATGAGAAGAGAGAGAAAAGTAAAAAAGTAAAAATAGAGGAGACAAATCGAAGAAAATATATTTGACAATGAAAACAGCGATGAGGAAAATAAGACAGATAGCCATGAGCTGTATAGGTACATATACCACAAAATTACATAAATTTCCAACAAATGTTGCAACTTTAATGAAAATTTGGTAAAATTGAACTGCTGGTACATAATTGGCAGGAAATTTTATTTTCATCTTAGATTACTCTGAATGTTAAGTCTCCTCTTTATTTAAAATTTCGATTTTATATACCTATTTAACTTAATTCTATAAGACAAGGTGTTATCTTAATCGTAAAAACGCATTTTGTGGTTTTTTAAAAAGTAAATCTTTCCTCTATGGCATGATTTGGAAAATTTTTATGAATATTTTCTTTTTTGAAAATGATTCCAAATATTTTAAATTTTGAGAAAAAAAGTTGGAATTTGATTTTTTAAGAGAGCTACAACATAGCTTTGTATCCCCCAGAATCCAAAATTAATTCATGCTATGGAGAGTTAAGGTTTTTTTTTTTTTTTTTTTTTTTTTTTTTTTTCTGTCGCTGAATTATTTTCCTAAATGACTGTCTCATTTTTACCGCTTATGGATGGTGCTGCTCCTTGTGATCATTTGCCTCATTATTATCATGTTTCTTTTGCTTTATCTATTCGATTTTAGGTTATTAATTGTTACGATGCCTATTAATTTGAATTTTCATTCTGTCACTCATCATTGTTCCTTCATTTCTCTCATGTATTTATGTGCTGAATCTCATTTTTCTCTCTCCTTCAAATCTACTTGCGTTACAGAAGTAGTGCTTAGTAGGGGAAGCATTTCTATTTTTGCCTTGATTGTCCTGCTTTGTTGCTATGTTGTGATACTCAATTCCATGAGGATGGTCATAAATGACTGAAAATCTTCAGAACCTACCTAATTTCATGTTACATGAACCTATACAGCACATGCCTATGCTCCATATCTTTGACGAGTACTCAATTGCTGCTACTATCCAAACCAAGTTTAATTAATGAAAAAGAAGGTGAGTGAAAGTGATTCAATGAAGAAATTGTCGCGATAAGTCACAGCGCTTTCTCTAAACAAATAAGAAGAGGGTGCTCATTGACAGGAGACGACAAGAGAAAGGCAAAAAATTGAGAGTAAGAGGGGGCAAAAATATAGGATGATGTGGCGCACAATCTATTCACCATCGCAGGAGGGGACGCATTATTCCCTTATTGAGGGGAAGCTTTTGTGCCGTCGAACGATCGATACTTACCATGAAAAGTCCCGCCCATCCTTGAAACCTACAGCTTGATACGCCTGAGAGCAGGCCGCAAACAAAGGAAAGAGTCTTTTCATCAACAGCATGAAGACTCCTTTGATTTAATCTACAGGTATTACAATAATTTTCTAACAGGTTTGTTAAATGTTTTCAGAAAGCATTTTATAGATGAATGATGCATGAAAACATTGAATAAAAAGACTTGCATAAAAATAAGAAGAAGATATACAAAAATAATTAAGCTTTTCAAGTTGAGAAAAATTAAGAGAGCAGACCAATAAAAGAAAAATATAAAAATAAAATAAGAAGGGCTAATGTTTCAACACCTACTGAACACACCTAGAGGCTGGAGAGGGGTAGGGGAAGGAGGGTAGCACGAGATAAAAATTAGGACTACAAAAGAAACCTCAAAATATGACAGGTCAAGTAAATAATATGATTGAGGGGCAACAGAACAGGTAGGCAGGGGGAGGAGGGATGAGGGGCATTGATAGCAAAATGCAGTGATTGATTTTTTTTGCTGGTAGGCTGAACAACAATAAAGGATCCCTCAACCCTGTCAGATGAGTTCAACATTCAACCATCATAACTCTGATTTACAAAATTAGTACACACCATCCTGAATGAGGATCAGATACAGCTCCATTGCGATGAATGAAACACGGGCTGCCCAAGAAAGAAATCTCTCCAAAAACAAATGAACCACAGCAAAAAGAAAAGAGGAAGGGAGGATACTTCCTATGCACAGGCTTTGAAACCTAGAGAGGTAGCGTCAAACTCAACATAAGTCAAACTCTCGACTGAAATCTGAAAGGGGAGTCGACGCGCTTGAGAGAAATACTCGAATTCAACCCCTCACGCTTCGTCAAAATAGCAGCGGCTGTAGGGATGAAGAAATACATCTGCGCAAAAGGCAGATACAGCCTGCGTCAGGTTATGATGGTAGGGGTGGGATTTGAAAGGTTTCGTTAAAAAAAATGAAGATTGAAACCATTCAATAAAGCAATGAAAACAGTGTAAGAGCGCTTTATCGGCTTCTTTATTGTTTTTTAATTGAGAGATTATTTATAAAATAAATGCATTAATACTGTATCGAGTAAAAAAAATTAAAATAGTCATACCACGATACAAAAAAATTACCACAATAATGGCAGATGGCCCTTTCAGGCATTCAGCTGATTTTCTGTGCCAATTAAGAGCTGAAGTGTTGTAACACAAAACTTAAATAAAGTGGCAAATAGGGAACTACAAAACGAACACTATAAAAGCATAAAAAGAAGTAAAGTTACGAATTCATGGTCATAATTCAAGAGAATAAATGCAAATCTAAAAGAATAAAATAGTAAATACAGAGCTACAGAGCCATACAGAGCGAAAAGGCAAGTAAACAAAGAGGCAGTACGAGATATAGGTTAGGTTGGAATCATCACTACCAATAAAATTGGAGGGAATATCAACAATACAGAGTGTCCGAAAAGTCCCCGAAATTTTTCAACCCACGAGGATGCTATCAGGTCAATGAGAGCTACTTTTCGGCTCTTTCAAAANGGGGGGGGGGGGGGGGGGGCCGCACACACTAAATCAAAATTGTCAAATGTAGTCCCTCTTCGTAATAGAATGTATGTAGGAAAGGCAAAAAAAACGACAATTTTTGGCTCAAACCGGACATATTACTGTGACTGTGATGCCCTTTGCATTCTTGAACAATAGAGCATCAGAAATCACTGATTGTGGTAGCAAAATGATTTGCCAGAATCTTAGTGAATCACCTTCATTTAATTATTGTAATACACGAGCAATGATGTTGCTTACCTTAAACTCCGCCCAGGGGTACAAAAATCATTAATCTGGCCCTGAAACAAAAAATTGAGAAATGTTAACCGAGTTTTAGTTCCTAATTTCACCTAATAAATAAACATGAAAGGAGCTGGAGAAACATGCACTGCATTATCACCGTGTCATCAATTATCAGATCAGAGGTCTCCTCATGGGAATGTTCGATCATAAAAATAAAAGCAACTACTTACAATGGCAAAACTAAAAATGAAATGCACTTTGTAAGTAGAAAAACGACGTCACATCAAATTTCATCGGATTTGTTCCTATGCGGGAGAACGGTACTATAGATTCTTCTAAAAATTTCAGAACATTTCCACTGTGACAAGAAGCAAATTCCTTGAAACTTGGCGACGGCTTATGTGACTTAGTTCCTTCCTGCTTGACGCGGTACTTTACTGATTAGGTAAAGTTGAAAAAAATGTGCCTTTGATTGCGATGTTGCAAGTCTTTGGTCATGTTTTACCTTCTTCAGGAAAAGTAGCCAAGTTTTTCTCGATATGTTGTGTTCAGTTTCGTCACTCATTGGAAAATGAATAAAATCACACAAAAAATTCAAGGTGATACTCAGACGGTATTCCATAGAAAGAAATAAAACATACTGGAAGATTTTCAAATGTGGTATTGGAGATTAACATTTTTTTTGAAGTCGGCGAAATTTTAAAATTTTGGTGCATACTATACTCCCTAGAAATGCAATAACTTGAAAATTTTGACAAGAATATCAACGAGTGATACAGAAATCTTGGAGAAAATTTCAAGTCGACGATACAATTTTTTTTCCTGAAGATGAAGTATTTTCGTTCCGGCGGCGCCCCTGCATACCTACGGGAGGAACCGTCTGATTGGCTTCGATCAGCTGGGGGTTCCGCAGGGTGGAGGGACTTCAGGGTCGGGGTCCGAACCCCTTCGCGCGCGGCTGAACATCGACTCTCGAGACTCGGTCGCCTTCCCGCGGGCTATCCCGATTGGTTATAGCTGGTCGAGACCGCGCGCTGATGTGTCGGAGACAGGAACTGTCGTGAGTAAATTTTATTTTTTAAGCGACAAAAAAGAGGAAGAAAAAGAAAGAAAAAAGAGGGAAAAAAAGAGGAAAAAAAGAAGAAAAAAAAAGAAAGAAAAAAGAAGAAGGAAAAAAAGAAAGAAAAAAGAAGAAAAAAAGAAAGAAAAAAGAAGAAAGAAAAAAGAAGGAAAAAAGAAAGAAAAAAGAAGAAAAAAAAGAAAGAAAAAATAATAGAAAAAGAAAGAAAAAAGATAAGCAAGAATTTTAAGAAGTTCAGATATGCATAGTTTTCGCTGAGCGCTGGCTTTCTCTAAAACGAGCTCTCACGCTCAAAAAAAAGCTCCAGAAGTTAAGGCCGTAATGGAGGGGCTTCCTTGCGAATTGCGATATGAGAGAATTCACCTCTACATTTATACTCAATCAAACTCTTCATGCATAGGTGGGAAGAGTAAAGACTTATTTATCAGGGTAACCAATTTGTGCGAGGGCTCAAAGGCTACAGCCACGGCAACTCTGCTTATTCGATCCCTATCAAAGCATGATGAGTTTGACATGATACAGAGGTGGACTTTCTCATCACTTTGGGAAACCTCCCCATAACCCCAACTTGGGAACTTTCTTATGAGCTTGCGGGATCGTTTCAGAGAAAACCAGAGGCACTATCGTGTTTCTCATGAAAGTATACACAGCGGAAAACCCTGTGACATATTAAAGCTCCGTTGAAAGAAAACTACGGACGAGTTTTCCAGTAGTAAATTCATACTTTAACCGAGGGAATTTGGAGACGCTCAGAGGCTCATGCGACGTCCTTTCCTAGCTCGGCAGTTCAGTCGTCGAGGAACGATGAATCAAAAGGAGCCAGAGAGAAGCTAGGTTGTGGGATGCCGCTAGTAGGGAAACCCGCACGAAAAGCGCTCAAGGGAAAGCCACGAAAATCACCCGATACGCGCTTTTGTAGGCCCGGTTTCCGGGAAGCGTGCGCGAAACCTGCCGTACCGAACCTAGCCTTTATTTTACGTTGAATAGAGCGATGAGACAAGGGACAACCGGTTAGTATCGGCTCATTCGCGTGTTCCTTTACGCCTCATTTGCCTCGATTCACTTGATTTCAGAGAAGAGCCGAAAACATGGCGACCTTGTCGTTCTATGATTTGACTGTGCTTGCCGCCAAAGGGGCATTTAGTGACATTTTTCTAATGGCAGGCTTGGATCTTAATCGGAAAATACGCATAAGCTACGCGTATATCAGAGAAACCCAGTTATATTTCTCACGACATTTTATAAAAGAAGAATTAGGTACTTAAAAGACAATGCCCTGACTCGTGTAAGATACTGATACTGGCCCTCAACCTGGCGGAAATGCGTTCCATTTCTGCGTAAGTACACCTTCCGAAGTTGTGTACTGCCTGACACATTTCTAAATAGCGTGCGCATCTTGGAACTTTAAGAGCGATTCGCGCGTCAAGTCATGAGCCGAGAGCGAGACAAGAAGTCGGGGAGACGCGATGCTTGAAGTAGACTGTAGTTATGCAGGCGATTCTCGAGATCGTTTACGGAAGTATTCTTCCGGAAAAAGAGGTCCCTTTTCGTAGATGTAGTCAAAATTGGATCGCAAAAAGGAATCAGTGCGATCATAGGGTTTTCAAAATCGTGCAACTTCTTCTTTTCTATTGAGAATGTGCACAGTAGGTATTCAAATTTACACAATTATTTTTCTGTGAAATTAACAATTTCTTGGCGGAAGGAAAAAACTATTTGATATTCTGGGAGATTTTTCAGATCAGTAATTGTGAAGAAGCAACATTTTGACGACACTGCAATCACGCTGGTTCCGTTTTGTTAAATGCGATCCAATAATTATGAAGCAACACAATTTTCTTGCATATCCATGACAACGAAAAAAAAACTCTTTTCCGCTGACTCAGAGATTTTAACGCAAAGTAGAAAAGTTGGAGGGGACGAAACGCGTATTACAGGTATTTCGATTGCCGATTAGGTAAAACTGCACATCCACGAAATGAAGGAGAACACGAACTCTTTTCCGCTGACTCAGAGACTTTAACGCAAGAGTAGACAAGTTAGAGGGGGCGAAAAGCGTGATTCAGATACAATTATTTTGATTTACGAGAGGATAAAATTGTACGACTACAAAATGAAGGAGAACATGATGTTCTGCAGAATCCCAACTATTCGATCTGTCCAACGCAACTTTCAGTTCGTGTAACCGAACTTTCGGTTCGCATAACCGAACTTGCGCGGCTAAAAGAACTGATGGGGGAAGTTCGTTTACACGTAGGGATTGATAATATTCCCGATCACCCGAATAAAAATTGTGGAAAACCCGCCAAAATATTGCAGCGAGCCCTCGGATTTTTTTCTTTTTTACTGAATGGGATTAGCCCTCGTGGGCTACTTGACTTTAAAGAGAGAAAGAGAGAAAAAAAAAACTTGGCGAGCGTTACACAAGCCGGCGTATTTACTCAAGTCTCAGACTAGCTTATATTGCGTTAAATTTTAGTAAATACTTCAGTGGCAAGGTTGACAAAACTCCCTTCCCATCTAGAGTACAGTTTTCACGGGTCGGATAGGACCCGGTGCTCAGTCTCTCTATAATGGTGCTCCATTTTAGCACGGCAGATAAGTTGCTCAACTCTGGAGAGGACAGGTTCTTCCTAAAATGGGAGAGGGGGACTGGGGAGGGGGGGGGGTGTGTCAAAAATCTTCATTAGATAAAATGGAGATGACGATGAAATAAAAAATAAGGAAAAGTAGTGGCAGGCTCCTCGATCCGAATGAAGAGCCGGAAAAATGGAAGGAAAGGGGACGACGACGAAGGAGTGAGGAGGAGGAGAGAGGGAGGCAAACGAAAACGACGGTGGCGAGGCAGCCACCTTCTCGGGATCCGGGAGAGGAGAGAAAACCCGACGGAGGTTGGCGGGCCGAGGACGGGCAGAGCGCGGGCGAGGGACGAGAGCGAGGAACACCGAGCGGACGATGGGGAAGGGGTGCGAGCGAGCCGTGAGGGGTGCGGGAGGGGAGAAATTCTGGTCGGGGTTGGAGGATGGAGGTGCGGCAGATGATCAAAGAAAAACCAGCGGCTCCTTTTGTCGAGAAAGAAATGCGCCGCGCGCCGCAGCGGAGAAGAAGAATAGTCGTTGGCTTAGACCGGCCGGGTTGCCGGATCCTCCGGTTCGGCGTGGTCCCGGTCAGTAGCGTGGCGTGAATTGCTGAATTGTTAAGGTGTTCGCTGCGAACACCCTATTTATCGATCCTTCTCCATAGATTTAAATGGCGTAACAATCGATATATCGGAATTCACGCCACGCCGCTGGTCCCGGTCACGCCCGCTCTGCCGGGACTCCCGACATGGCGGCAACCTCCGCGACCGTTGCTGAGCTCGCAACTGAGAAAAGGACTTGGTCCCCGGCAGTTCTGCGTTTCTTGCCTTGCCAACCGCGGAATTCACCGACGACGGGGCCAGCGACAACGGCCAACCGCTCTTCAAAACTTCACCCCGAAATTTTTCAAGAGGCGTTCGGCCAGAGGTCCTACGTTCGTACGGCTCTTCAAACGGGGGCTCGTCGACGTATCTTCAAGCTCTCTGTTCGGCCAGCGATGCAGCTTGGGATGATTGGTAAACTCCTTTAAAAAGCCTCCGGTATGGACAAGGAGAAGATTCACCATAGTCGTATTGGGTCGGCGCCGAGTCGTAAAGACGGAGGGCCTAGGTTTGGAGGCGTATTGCAGGGATTCTTTTGCAATGCAGCAAGGCATTAAGCAAAATAGCATGGTCAACGTCGCGACAGAAATAAAGGCTGTAAACACTTTCTCACGCGCCAGTTGGGCGATTCGTCCTTTCTTTTTAGAAGCCGGGGCTCTATTTTTAAGCGCATGGTGCTCGTGGTAAAGATGGAGCGCGGCAGCCCAACCCCCAAAGTTTTGGATTGTCATCGGGAAAAGAAAGTGTTTTCAGGATTTTTCTGAATGGTCATGGGCTGTTTGGCAGTTATGATCTCTAAGAATTCGAGTAGCCAGTGCGCATATTGACTACCAACAGTCTGGCTGTGTTTACAGTGCGTCTGGTAGCGGTCGCTCAGGAGCGCTGTTCTTGATGGGCGCGGAAAAGCAGCTACTACCAGATGTTTAGTCAGCGTTGTCGTGCTCGTGAGTTCGGTAACGTCAACTAGACGCTTGATCAACATTACCGGCCAATGCCAGATGTCCGGCGGGGGTAATCGATCGTCTTGTAACGTCAACCAGACACACGATTAAAACTACTTTAGAGTGCCAGACGTGAGGCAGTGTCAACAGTAAACTGTACGTCAATTAGACGCATGATTGGCCTGTTTGGTACTCATGGGCTCCCAATGAGGGGCTTTCTGAGGAAACTTCTCAACTTGAAATTGGGGAGAGATTTTCTTGGATATCTTGAAGAAAATTTTTCCCCTGGAACCCCCCCCCCCCCCCNGGGGGGGGGGGGGGGGGGGGGGGGGGGGGGGGGGGGGGGGGGGGGGGGGGGGGGGGGGGGGGGGTGGATGGGCAGCTCAATCAGTTACAGATCAGTGGCAACTTCCTAGACGGTGAATGAAGTGTGGTAGAGTTAGTTAACCGAACATCTGTTTACTATAATTTCTTTTAGAAGGGCAGCAAAAGTTAAGATAGGGAAAAAAAGAAACCGGTCATGTTTATAGATGCTATGGAACTGTCACGATCAGACCAGTGCAGAGGGGTCTTGAAGGAACGCTTTGGGGCTTTAGTAGAAGAGCCCCACCATGGCAAAATTGTCAATCAACTTCCGAGACACCCAGTGGACGCTCCGGTCCGACCCCCTCCCCTCCACACTCCCTCGCGCGATTTACGTACCCTATTGCCGTGCTGCCAAAACCCCTAAAATCAACAATCAAGCCAACGAACCAAAATAAAGTAACCAAACCTAACCTAACCTAACCTAACCTACCCTAACAAGAAAAACACGAAAAATACTAAATGAAAATAAACAACAATAAGAAAACGGAAAAGAAAAAATGAAACTCACCTAGTCATTGCAATGGAAAAAAAAATGACAAACTCATCGAATGACCATTTTCACAAAACCGAGAATTATGTAATAGATTCCGCTTTTGTAAATAACGAACAGCCTCCTCCTCGGAATTCACCTCTTGACACAAAAGAAACATGACGCACGCACAATGAAATCAGAACTAACGCAAGTGTGACGGGCAGTTACTGAATAGACTCCGCCGCTCTGAACTTTGACCGAACATCACACATTCTTCCTCCCTCCCCACCCATCATTTTCCGGCTGCAGTTTGTTTACCCGTTTTGCAACCGCACTCAACCAGCCGTCCACCTGAAGCGTCCACCGGGTGTCTCGAAAGTTGATCGACAATATTGCCGTGGTGGGGCGCTTCTACTAAAGACCCCTCTTGGGGGTTCGGCCAGTAAACGCTTGCACTGTGTGTTCCTTAGGGTGGTCGTTGCATACTAAGAACACCACCTGTTACTCTACAATGCTCTTAAGAGGTGTAGGATCCTACTTGGAATCATGGTTTGTTACTGAAGGGGGGGGGGAGAGCCGGGAGTATGATACCCAAGAAAGTGCATGATATCGCTGAAGGTTGAACGATGATTCTGCTAATTATATGAAAGGGTAACACTTCAGAAGTTTGGTCGAAAGATTATTAGCGTAGTAGTGTAGCCACTACTAAACTATGGCCATGCTATTATGCAGTTTGCATCATTATGCTACTTAAGCATGAACCTCTTCACTAATTTTTGGGAAATTACTATTCTAATCTCTGGAGCCTCTTCACGCGCCCCTCCCCCCTAAAAAATAAATAATTATCATGTGTGCTCACAGCCAGAATCATTCACTAGACAGATTAAGGTGGGGGCCGTGTCTGTGACAAGATATCAACAAGCATGATAAAGGCACCAAGTCCTGCCACATACATAAAAAAGCAGTCAGGCCACTGACTGCATACTGACAATAACTAGGAAATGGCCCATAATTTGGATAATTGACTCCAAACAACCTCTTCATTTTGAAACTTAATAGAGGTATCGGCGAATAGTTTGAACTGGTAGAAGGGTGCGAACGCAAGTATGTCTATTTCCTGACAAATGAATAATTAATCAAATGAGAAAAGGATGTCTAAAAAAACCAGCAACAGTGATGGGTTGAAGACAAGAAGTAAATAGATGAAACGGTGATTTCTGACGACATTGAATAAATGGCACAGATATGTAGGAATAAAGCCCTCAGGAATTTCAAACTAAGATCAAAGAAAAAACCGTGAAGAACTGCTTGGTTAGGTTATGATCTAAGACCATAGGAATTCCGATTACAATAGAAGGAGAAGAACTGGGATTCGTCAGAAATTATCAAACGAAACATATCTGCGGCAGATGAGAGGGTTGTTTTAAGGTGCGTTAATAACGGCTGGAGTAATAAATGACAGAACTTTCTTTGAAACTACTCATGATTGAGAAGAAGACGACATACCTTTGTAGACCTGTTTGAAGTGTTTGATGTCCCTTTTGATCCTTCGTGCCAAGTATTCCACACTATTTCATCGCAATAGTACGCGTCTAAAACGTGCAAACTTACGTTATAATTAAAACCTAAATGTAAAACAAAGCGCGGTTACAAAAAATCATTAAGATATCAAAAGTAGAAAGATTTTTAACTCGTTTCGAAACTTGGTTTTAATTTCGTGAAGCAGTCGACATGTTTCGGAATTTGCGGACCGAACGAACAACACTAGCGGCACTAGCGCTGCCAAGCGTTCGTGACGTCAGGAATGTAAACAAACAACTCTGTTCTCTCATTGGTTGGTCTTCATGACGTAACTCAAGATGGCTCCCCTGAAGAAAACGTTTCGTTTCGTGAAATTCTGATGTGATATCCCACGATCTTGCCGCTTAATTGAGTTTCCGGAAATCTTTCACGTTATATTTAGTTAAAAGATTTTTTCTCCTAATCATCGTTTCATTTCCATGTGCTGTAAAGTTGACGTAAAGTGACACAATGTTGTCACGCATTCTCACCAGTGAAGAGTTGAATATTCTCTCCGAGCCTATTCGGAGCAAGCTCGACAAATGGATTAATGAAAATGTGGAGGCTCACTTCGCCACCAAAGCCTTATTCGAAACCTTTAAGAAAGATTCTGGTAAGTATCTTGAGTATGCCATCTGTTTAATCTAGCATCATGGGCTTATCATCAATTGGTCTGTACGCACACACTGATAGTGATGCGCAGATGCACGATTTGTGATTCTCTCTTTATCGTTTGCTGTGGGCACCGATGGCCACTGATTCACAAATTCAGCACCTCTGGCACGGGAGTAACTCTTCACATTCTTTCATTACTACTAATGACTGTCCAGACAGCTTCCCTCTAAATCCTTCCAGAGCTACATGTTTTCACGATTATGTACATGCAGTGCGCACCTGTTGACGTGAGTTTTGGATCATGGATTTACCTAACATATTACCGAAAAAAGGTTACCTGATATTGTTCAGTTCTCCTCTTTACCAGAGGCTTCTAGATCTACTTACCAACCTCTACAGATGATTGTTCACGGGGGCTGAATGTGGGTAATGGCATGTCAACTTGTAGGTCACAAGAGCGGAAGCATCGTATGATGAGACAGAAGTCAAGTATTGTTTAGGTCACCACTCACCAGTGGTGCCATCTGACCGCATGTATTAACCTGTTGAATGGTGCTGTTTCTGAGGTAATCAGAGTTTGACATTTGTCTCAATATACGATGCTTCCGCTCTAGGTAATTGAAGTAAGTACAGTTTAACAGCTCATCATCTGGCTGTGGGTAACCCCAGTCCGAAAGGGCTCCAAACAATTTACTCCAACAATCCACCATTGCCTATGTCCAGAGGGTTCCTTCTTTTCTGTAAAATTGCGCTTTGGCCACATAATCTGCCAAGCTCAACTCGATTGAAAGTTAAAAAAAGCACCCAATGACAGAATGTATATATATTCAGATTTAAATTTAATGGCATAAAATTCTTCAAAGGAAGTTTCTAAGAACTAGGATGAAAATAAATGTATTAACGAAACTGGTATGTCACTAGCAGGGGAATGAACATTGGCCTTTGAGATCAAGTCACGGTAACTGCATCTTATTAAATGCCTCACTCAGCCTCACTTAATTTTTTTAGGTATGCTTTACCACAAATGAAATCTTATTTGTTGCAGATGTTAAAATTACCACTTTATCATCAGAGTTAGAAGTTTGCCAAAATGATAGAGCAGAAATTCAACAGAAGCTGTCCCTTTTAGAAATAGATTTCAAAAATATTGAAAACAAATATGATACCAGCCGGACAGAACTTCGTACATTACATGAGTCAATCAAGAGGTAAGTAATTTTCCTAGTTACTTTGCATAAGGAACTGTCTTCATGGGCAGTTTTCCTGATTTGTCGTAACGTCGAACCACATGCAAGAACTTTTTGGAATTCTTCACCATTACTGTTGCTAGCCTAACCAACCACACAAATTATTTGAAATATAGGTAGGGTATAGTGAAAAATTCAATCATCAGTAAAGCAGACTAATCATAAATTATTCAAGAAATTGAGTGAATGACAAAATGGCAGAACTTGCTATTGCCTCCTCCTCCTCTCAGTTGCTCTTGACAGTGATTAATATTTAGTTAATCAGTTAAATTACTGTTGCCACTTTGCTAGTGCAACTCTTCGAAGGGCTAAATTGCTAGAAAATGTCTCCTGGAGACAAGGTCCAACCTTTTGAACTATCAATGTCAACTATCAAACTATCTTCTCTTTCCTTTCTCCATTTCTCCTTTCATTTCCTTTTTTTTTTAATAGAGCTCGCGCATTGTATGTTGAGACAAACTTCAAAGTATTGTTTAAGTCACCATTCACTAGTGGTGCCACCTGACTGCATGTATTAACCTGTCGAGTGGTGCGAATTCAGAGCTAATGGGAGATTGACGTTTGTCCCAACATACAATGCGCGAGCCATATAACCTTTGAAAGCTTCTCTCAAAACCTTGGATTATGAGTGACCCTCCACATTTTATGCAATTGTTAATGAAAGGAAATCATATAGAGGAGAGGATGATCAAAATCCTCAATCTACAGGAAAAAGCATTCAAGCTATATTAACACCCTTGTATGGAAAAGAAGCTTGAAATTATGAAATTTATGAATGAATGGCTTTTCATCTTTATGTTATTTATTTTGTGTTATTTTCTTGCATTACTCTCAGAATTGAAGATGAAAATGAGAAAATTCGTCAACAAAGAGACAGCCTGGCTGAAAGTCAGTCGGAAATGGCCGCTACATTGGAAAGAAGAAATGCAGAACTGGGACGTTTACAAGGAGACATCGAAGGGCTTCAAAATCAACTTCAGGTAATTGAACTATCTACCTTCTTGACCTATAATAAGGCAAACTTGGCCTTTACTGCGGCCTCATTGACTGGTTGTCAGGGTAATTACAGAGAAGATTGATGCAGCTGCAGCCATTTGGTTGACTGAAGTAAATGCTCAAGTCAAGTATTTATCGATTGCTAAAGTGAGTTACTATATATCTCCATTGCGATGCTTCAAAATTTCTGCTCCCATTTCATTTTTTCGAAAAAAACAAGCCAACTTTACAACTTGAAATTTATACAGAATATTTTGCCAACAAAAAAAAATTCTAAGAAGTTTTAAAAAATCACACTGACTAGTCTTCCAAAAAGAAAAAAAAGGAAGAAAAAGAAGTATGACAGGAAGTCTGCAAAGTCACTTACTTATAAAGATAAGTGGTTTTGCACTTAGGCCATTGATATATATCTCATTGATCCCAAAAACGGGAAAAATGATTCACATGTTTGTGGGGTGAATCAGAAAATTTCATCACGAGTACAATTGGTTAAGATAAAAAAGGCTGTCCAAAAAAAGTAAACACTGAAAGTTCATAGCAATTTTGTGCCATTCAAGTTTGTCTTAAGTAAAATATTTTTCTCTTCCCCTCACTCTTCGGTTATGAGGAAAACCTCAAAGAGTGAGCCTGTGATCATTAAACAGAACTGAACGATAAATTAATTTCAGATTTGAAAGTTGTATATTTATATAGTTATTGTTAGTATTTTATCTTTCATCTACCACAGAATCCAGAGAAGAGTTTCTGATAGTTCAGAATAATTTCATCACAGGAGTATTCTACTTTTATTTATTTATTTTTTTTGTTGTGTTTCTTCTGTTTCATGCAGAAGCAAAATTGAAACTTTTATTTTGTTGTCAACAGGCTGCAATAACGGCAAAATGTGAAGCTTTAATTGGAGCTGATGAAATAGAAACCAAAAGACTGAACTATGAGTTGAAAGTAAAACAAGCAGAACAGGAAAAAGAGTTGTTACATCAGCAGATAGCCAGTTTGAATGTTGAATTGGTTCGAGCCTCTGAAGAACTTGCAAATACACGCCGCGAAAACTTAAACAGCCTGATGTCAATTCAAGTTCAGCTATCTGAGAAATCTGAGGAAAACAAAATCTTGTCATTTTGTATTGAAAAATTAAAAGAAGAAAACAAAGACCAGACAGAGCAGCTCGAAGCATTAAAACAGCGACTTGTTGGTTTGTGTGAAGAGGAGAACAAGCTACGAGAGAACTACCAAGCGGAAATTGAAACACAAGTGAAAATAGCGGAGTTGTATAAAAACATGAGTGAAGAGGCCAGTAACAAGGTCGAAGAAACTATATGCGGAACTCAAAGGCTTCAAGCGCTCCTTAATGAAGCATCAGAAAAGTATGGTGAACTAGAAACGGAATTCAAAGCTAAAGAGACCTACTATGAAGAACTATTAGCGAAAAAGAATGAAACGATCGCCTCACTAAAACAAGAGCTTGAACATGCCAATGATCTCCTGAAGAGTCTGAAGCAAGAGCAAGCTATTGATGCCATGTCACCAAGTGCAACTGCCTGCCAACGCTTACAAAGATCTGGCCTTACTTTTACTGCACTCTACAGCGACTACAAAACTATATCCGATGAACTGCTTCTCAAAACTCAAGAGAATGAAAGCTTGAAAACGACACTTGATCAAATTCTGAAAGAGCTTGAATTGAAGTCACCTCTTATTCAAAAACTTCATGAAGACTACAGTTACATCGTACAGAAAAACGAAGGTTTGGTTACAAGAATGGATGAATTAGAAATTGAAAACAAAGCATTGAAGACCGATTATCATGAAGCTGACAAATTACTATCACATATGAAGAGAGAAAATAAAAATTTGAAAGAAAATCTAAAAGATCTTGGACGGCAAGTTTGCTTCTTACTGAAGGAAATCCAAGAGCAGAGAGGAACTGTTGTGACTATGGCTAATGCCTTGGATGAGTTTGACAAATCAGATGTCACTGATTCCTCTAAGATGATCTCTAAGCACTTGGTTACATTTGCTGACATTGAAGAACTGCAATTGAATAATCAGAAACTTTTGGCTGTTGTCCACCAGTTGAGTGAGAAGAATGAAACAGCTGAAAAAGCTCAGTTAAGTATAAACTATGAAGATTTAGAAAGTAGGCTGAAAAATTGTGAAATCCAGTTATCTGAAGAAAAAGCCAATGTAAAAAGGTATGAAAAAATGCTTGAGATAGTAAAAGGGCAAAGAGACCTTTTCAGGACTCTTTTCAAACAACAAATATCTGGCACCACCCCCGATGAAAAGATAGCTCACCTCCTAAACGTTATTGAGAATTCTGAAGAAAATTCAATGAGCCTAGCAATTACAGATAGTAAAACGCCCTCTTCTCCCAAGGATGTCAGCAGTGGCAGAGTCAAGGAACTTACAGCGGAATTGGAGAAAGTGCGAAAAGAGCTAAGCAATTTAAAGAATGAGTATGAGTCTAATCGAGAAGAAAGAAAGAAAAATGAGCAGATGCTAAATGAGGATTTGAAAACAGCTCAAAAAGAACTTCAAAAATTAAGAAATGACAATGTGAAACTTCTAACAAAAGGAGAGTTTAATGAAGAAAAGATCAAAACTTTAGTGCGTAACATGAATAATTACAAGAATCAAATCACAGTGCTCGAATCAAAGTGTAAGCTTTACTCCGAAACTATATCGAAACATGAACAGTCTATTCTACATCTAACGAATGAAGCCAAGGATGCTAACACGAAACTAGCCCAATCCGCAGTTGCAGTAGAAAGTTTGCGTCAGAACCTGAACATTTTGAAGGATCGAGAAGTGAGGTTGAATGCCGAAAAAGAAGCTTTACAGAGAGAAAAGCATGGGCAAGCTTTACTGCTGGCCAATCTGGAAGCCATCAAAGCAAGCATGGATCGCTCTGAAGGCGAAGGCAGATTGAACCTCGAACGGAAGTTAGATGACAGCATCAAAGAATGTAATGCACTGAGAAGGAGACTGCAAGAGGAGCAGGATCGATATAATGAGAAGGTAAAAACTCTTGAAAATTCCATTGAAATCGTAAAAGGTCGGTTGGAAGAAGAAAAGGCAGCCCGTCAAAACACTCTTGTTGAACTGAAGGACAACCAAGATATTCTCTCTGAAAAAGACACAATCATCAGTCAACTGAATGAAAAAATTAAGAATATGCTGAAGAGCTCAGGGTCAGATTATCACACCGAGAGTCGATTTAAAGAGCTGAAGAAAACTTTGAATGACACCCAAAAAGAATTAGCCTCTTGCAAGGAAATGCTAGCATCGGCAAATCAGCATTGTCAAAATTTCAAAGACATCGCGGAATCATCTGAACAGCAATTGACAGAAATTACTCAAGAGTTCAATAATTTAAAGAAAACAACTGAAGGTCAGTTAGCTGCTGCAGCCGGTTTGGAAAAAACGCTGAGATCGCAGCTTGAAGCATCAGAGAAGAAAATCAAGGAGCTGCTTACATTGCAAAGTGAATCTTCATCACAACTGACTACAGAAATCACCTCCAATAAGAAAGATCTAGACCTCCTGCAAAGTGAATTGCAAGCTCTTCGAACTGAATTGCAAAGAACCCGTGAAGATTATACAGCCGCCATTCAAGCAGCCAATGAAGCAGACGAGAAGTATTCTCATGAAATGATGCTACATGCTGCAGACATGCAAACCTTGAAGAAGCTGAAAGAAGATTTGACGAATTTAAATATTCAGCTGGTTGATGTACAGAAAGAAAGAGATGAAGCTGTTACGAAGCTTAGTGAACAGGAAGCCTCTTTGAGTGAGAGAGAGGCTGCTCTGAAAGAAGAGAGAGAATCATTGCAAGCTAGGCTCAAAGACTTGGATGCCCAGAACTCAACGCTCCACAGTCAGTTGGAAGCACTTAGCTTCAAAATGGCGTCGATTCATCAAAGTTCTCCTGGTTCAGCTCCAACCTCTGCTGGTGATGTTGGAGCTAAAGATACATCTTTCTCCGAAGATGAAGCTAGATCATCAGAACAGCTTCTTCAAATTATCAAATATCTACGTCGTGAAAAAGATATTGCAGTCTCCCAATTCGATGCTTTGCGTTCAGAGAATGTCAGATTGAAATCTGAACTTGAACTTACTCGGCGACAGCTAGAAGAAGCACAAAACATGCTTGAAACTGAACGCAAAAAAGCAGAGGTTGATAGTGTGTCTGTGACAAAACATGCAGAGTTATTGAGGAAAGTGGAAATGTTGTACGCTGTCACAGACAGCAACCGTGCGTTACGGGCTGAAAGAGATGACATGGCAAATCAGGTAAAATCTTTGCAGGGAAAACTGGAAGAACTAGAAGCTCAATTGTTACAACCATTGAAGGAAGAAAACATGAAATTGTCAGCAGTTGTAGACCAGTTAAAAACAGAAAATTCTGGTTTGCAAGCCAAATGTGTCGCTTGGCAGCAACGAGCTTCTGCCCTTTTGGAAAGAGCTAATGAAAATAGTCCAGAAGATATTAAACGTCTCACTGGAGAAAAAGAGACCCTTAGCAAAGAGGTTGCTGCACTCACTTCTGAACGAGATAGTCTTAAAGCAGAAAAAGATTCTCTCACTAGTAAAATAGAGGCTGAAAAATTGGCTCATGAGAAGTCTTTGGAAGAACTGAAAGCTATTCGAGAGAAATTCGAACAGATGATAGAATCTTCTAATAATGAGAGAAAACTACTTGAAGCAAAGACAGAAAAAATTGATAATTTAACTCAGAAAGTAGAAAAATTAACCGCAGAAGTCTCTGCACAATCTCAATTGGCTGAAACAAGGAAAGAAGAAACAGATGCTGTTAAATCAACCTTAAATAAGCTTGAAGAAGAATTTAAAACCCTGAGCAACAACTCCACACAGATTCGATTCATTGCAAAGAAGTACAAGACACAGTGTCAAGAACTGACCAAGACAGTTGAGAACCTGAAATCAGAAGTTCAAAAAGCAGCTTCAACCCCTGTTGAACTTTCAGAGGAAGAAAAAGAAAAACTGCGCGAAGAAGGTAAAAATACTCTTAGTGAAAAGATCAAAGAACTCTCAGAGCAGGTTTCATCGAGCCAAGCTGAGTCAGAATCCTTAAGACAAGAAAATGAAAATTTGAAAGCATCTTTTGTTGAGAAAGAAAATCGAGCCAAAGATCTCCTTAAAAACACACGTATGAAAATGCATCAATTGACAGCTGACAACGCTCGTCTAGAAAAAGAAGTCAGCGAATCTAAAAGTAGGGTGTCTCAAGCAGATTCTGATGCCAAACTAAATGCATTGAAGACTCAGTATGACAGTAGAATTTCTCGTTTAGAGAAAGAGAAGGCTGACTTGGAAGCTGAGAAGGAAAAACTGTCCAAGGATTTAGAAACACTGACTGCTCGAGTTAATAGTATGCAGAGGCATATCAACTCAAAACCATCAACTAGCTCTTCCTCAGAGAAATTAAACACTGATCCGCCAACAGCAAATATTAAGCCAATGGCAGGCCCGTCATCAGGGGCTGGAAAGCAACAGCAGGCACAGCAAGCTGTTACAGTCACTCCTTGGAGAGATACTCCTCTGGCATCCATTCGACCAATTACCATGTCCAGAACATTGGCAGTGCCACCAACCACAAACTCAAGCGTTGCAAGTGTTGTACCGCAACAGCAGCAGCCTCAGCAACAGCAGCATCCACCACCGCAACAGGCGCAGCAGCAACCGGCTCACCAGCAACCCCAACCACAGCAGAATCAACAACAGCAGTTGGTTGACACGAGTAGCTCGGAGTTGCTGTCCGCCTCCCCTACATCGTCACACATAGACTACACTCCTTTCGTCCGTCCAATGATGATTGAATCGACCAACGATTTGGAAGTTGAGTGTGGGAACGAAGAACAGCATCATGTAGCAGCGCATCAAACTCAGCCAGCTCAGGGTCTTACTGCTCCAGGAACGCAGACACAAGTTAATGTTGCCCTTGTGCTCCCAAGGGAAAGAAATGAAAGTGCGCAGCCTGTTGCTGAACAATCAGTCAGTAACTCTCAGGACAGTAACCAACAAAATTTCTCCGTTGTTTCTAATTCAAGTAGTTGTAATCAAGAAACTTCCAGCACACTTTCTGAGCAATCAGTGAGTGACTCGACGAATTCAAACCGTAATAACGAACTAGTCTCAGCTAGCAGTCAGCAACACTACCAACCTGAGAGGAGTAATGAGTCTAATAATTTAGTGAGCAGCCAGCAATCAGTAGTTGCTAGCAGTCATGAGAACATTCCTCCGGAACAATCCATTGTTGTAGCGAGTAGCCATCAAAGCATTGTTGTTGCCAGCTCTCACCAGAGTGTAACTGTTGCTAGTTCCCATCAAGCTGAACCGTCATCACAAGCTACGTGCTCCCACACCGTTACAACCACTCATGCCGGGCACAAGAGGGTTCGCGACTCTGAAGGTGATGCGTCTAGTCATACAGATGACAGTGGGAAAGATCATCTTGTAAGTATTAGTCAGAAACTCTAAATTTTTATGATAAACCAAAGCAAGTACCCTTTCAAGGAATATTTTTATTACGTACTATTGAAATAGGTACACAGTTAGATTTAAATGTCACCTTCAATAATTATATATTTCTGCATGTTAGCAAAATAAATTTTGTAACTAAAGAAAATCAACATAAAAGAGCAAAGGAAGTAGCCTAAAGATGTCAAACAATGAACTTAAATAATGAATGAGGTTTCTGAGCACCAATGAATCTAAATTACAGTGATCAGATCTCGTATTTTATGAAGAAATACATTTTGATTTATCTTTAATCATATGTACTCAAGATCGCATAAGTTTTTACATGAAAAGAAATACAGGGTGTTAATAAAGCGTGTTAATAAAGCATGGATACTTGTTAATATTTTGCATCTTGGGAGCAGCTGCAAATATTGACACTCAGTTTGGACAAGACTGTCAAATGAAAGTGGAAATCATTTTGGAGAGGGTGGTGGCCCTCTACTTCCCAGGAGGCAAGGGAGAAATTTGTGAACTTGAAATGAAAACCCCTATCGTATAGTACCTTGTTGGAAAAAGGATAAAAAATAGCATTTTTGGCCGAAACTGCAGATGGCTTATTATCAGAATCAGTTTTAAAATGGCAGGCAATTGAAGGCCAGAATGGTGGAAAATAGGGTCTCAGTTGTTTATATGCTTCTTAGTGTGAGTGTTTCAGGGTGTCGTTAGAGTTAGCTTTTCATAGTTTCAATTCATGAATCTCACCCTTACATTTATGATCAGTGGATTTTTTTCTTACGAATGAACTTTTGGGTTTTAGGTAAAGAGAAGTAGAGTCTCTGTAGAACAAGAAGAAACCCAAGGTGAATCAGAAGTTGAGTACCAAGTACCCACTTCTTCTCAGCGAGACCAAGAAGATGATGCGATCACAGTCGACTCGGAAACCTCTAATGAAGAAGAAGAGGAGGAGGAGGAAGAAGAAGAAGAGGATGGAAGCGGATTGACAGAAGAGGGTCATGGAGAGTATGAAGAAGGTTATGAGATGGAAACTTATGATCGCGACGATGACCAAGAAATTGGATACAATGAAGGTAAAACTGACTGCATATTGAGCTCAAAAATTATAAGAATTTTGGAGAAAAACATTACATAGGAAAACTAGAGGAAAAATATAGAACTGTTTGGGAGTCCCACTTTACAGGAAGTTTCATTATACAATTTTTGTACCCAGTAGACCCTAAGACAAGGTCAGTCTACTAAAAATGACTTACATCTAGGTTTTTTCATAAATGTGCTTCAACTGCTCTGCTATGCTAAGTTAGCAAGCAGTAATTTCATATTTTGCCGTAAGTCCTCTTTTTGAAAAATATAATTCTTCTTGTTACAAAAAATTAAATATACTTCTCATGAAAGAAGAAATTGAAACAATTACATTAATGATTGCGCATAAAGGTGTGACTCCCCCTTTGACTCCATGTACTAAAAATACTACATTTGCATTTTACTGTAAGTTGGAAATCCTGCTCTCACTGTCGACTGACTGGGCACGGCAGCACTGTAGTCATGAGATTTAATTCCTTCCCAGTAGCAATTTTAACAAATATCTTTTTATACTAATAATTACTGTAACCATTGATTAAGTATATTATTTCCTTGGTTAAAGGAGAAGAGAACAGCGAAGTGGAAGTGATGGATAGCCACCGCGGTGGACAGTCCAGTGAAGCAACAAGCAGTCACATGCTGCGCAGACCGGCTGCTATTACACCTCTCTCCCGACAGCAGCAGTTGCTGTTGCCCCAAAATTATGAGGACGCTGGTGATGATAGTATTGTGCCCAGCACGCCTACTTTGTTCCTACCACACCGTCTGGATGGGTTTGGTGAAGCCGTCAGTTCGCCGCACGTCCCATCAACCGGTGGACGCTTCACTTTTGTTGAATCTGGTACACCTGTATCTAGAGCAGGTATGCATAAAAAATCACATTGCTAAGAGAGATGTTGTGTTTTTTTTCTGGAGAAGATATCTCAAAAAAAACCTTTTTGATTGAAACCAAGCAGTTTGCTCAGACTTTTCTTCAATTGACTCTTTCTATACTCCTTTGTTATTAATCTGAAATCTTTCCAAAAATACATGTTCTTCAAACTGCTCATTACTGGAAGACTTTTCAGTAGCTTTACAAATATTAAAAAAAATTGGAAGTTGATGCTTGATAAAATAGAGAGTTTACCCCTTGTACATACTAATTAATTCATTACTGTTCTATGAAGTGAAAGAATTTTTTTACGGAGTTTTAAGTACTCAGTTTGGCTTTTTATTTTGTTCCTTCCTAGGCTCATTCTATGTCAGCTGTTTCTGTGTAGGCCTATTACAAGTCATTGGTGTACTATTCTCTAATTTATAGTAATTTTAAAAGTTTCAAGACTAGTTCAAATGCTTCTTTCTTTTCCTCTGGTTCAAACAATTTCTTTATTGAAATAGAAATGATTACTGCTAATGGAGCATGGAGCTCCTCTCTTCTAGCAAAAAGATTTTTAGCAGGTTTTTTCATTCCAAAAAAGAACAAAAAAAACAGCGTATTTCCTTTGAAAAATACTATGAAAGCAACTTGGTGTGGAATTTTTTTGACGTTTGGTGAGACCTTGAAAAATTGTTTCTGCAGAATGAAACTGAAATCAGTTGCGAGAGAGTAAAATGCTAGCATCTCTTCATGAGCAATGGAAGTTAGGCCCTTGATTTAAGGGTCGGGTTTTTCTAAATGACTCTTCAATGAATTTACAGGCGTTGCGCAAGTTGTGTCAGAAGGTATGGACGACACCACAATCGATCTCAGCCAATTGGAGACAGGCCGTTCAGTCCCATCAACTCCATTACAAGTATCACCTCAAGGTAGTTATTTAAGCTTCGTAATATTTTCAATGCTCTCTAAAAAATTTTCTTGTATTTTCAAATGAATGCCAAGAATTTGACTTTAAATTTAAGATGTTCAAACTTATCGAGGTCCAATGGTCTTGTAAGATACACCCAGAGACAAAGGGAGACCCTCTACTCAAGTGGCCACTTAGCCACATGGAAACTTTTACATTTGGGGACTCAACACTTCTATGTGGACAATTGTAAAGGAACAACAGCCATCACCTTTGTTTTTAGCTGTTGACCTACCTACAACACTTGAATGTTGTGAGTCCCAAAAGTGCAAGCTTCCACCATCGCCAAGATAGCAATGGAGAGTCTCCCTCTGTCTCTAGATACCTCCAGTCATTTCATTAGAATATGCACTGAGCCAAATTGAGGTCAGTAAGAAAGACAGCTCTTAAGTTAAATTGTGACCAAATTATCATTTCCTCATTTTTTATTGCTGTTCTTTCACAAAGGATGTTCTTATACCCTCCTTATAGTCCTGAGTTACATAGTCAAACATTTTATGGTCTTATAGGAGAAGGGAGTGGAGAAATCGGGCAAAGTGAAGAAGACAATTTCAATGAAGAAGAACCTCAAGAACGTAATGAGTCCGAATCTGCTCAAGACGCCATCAATGGTAAGAGATGCTGCACTTTTTTTTTTAACAACCATTCATGTCAAGTCAAGCAAATTAATTCCCCCCCCCCCTTAAAAAAGGATTTTTATAAACAAAGAGCAGTGGTCTGGAAAGGTAGGCTCTCTCATGATTTATTCTACCATCAATAATTTTGAAAAAATTATCTTTATCATGACATGATGATACTATATATTTTACCATCTTTCGGGACTGAGTTTCCTGATGATATACTTTTATCTGACATGATGCTGTTTGAATACCAGTTTGAAACACAGTAAACAAAATCCCATGAGAACATATTGAACGTGAAGTAAATCATGTTATAGTTCTTTTTTGCTTTTTTCTATGAGATGATGATACTAAATATTTTACCATCTTTCGGGACTGAGTCTCCTGATGATATGCCTTTATCTGATATCATGTCATTCAAGAATGGATTTAAAAAAAGATACTGTCCTGAGAATATATTTAAAGTTATGGAAAGGACATTTTTTCACTGTTTATTTTTTCATGAAATGATGATACTAAATATTTTACCATCTTTCGGGACTGAGTTTCCTGATTATATGCCTTTATCTGATATCATGTCATTCAGGAATGGATTTAAAAAAAAAGATACTGTCCCGAGAAAATATTTAAAGTTATGGAAAGGACTTTTTTTGTGAAATGATGATACTAAATATTTGACCATCTTTCGGGACTGAGTTTCCTGATGATATGCCTTTATCTGATATCATGTCATTCAAGAATGGATTTAAAAAAAGATACTGTCCTGAGAAAATATTTGAAGTTATGGAAAGGACATTTTTTCACTGTTTAATTTTTTATGAGATGATGATACTAAATATTTTACCATCTTTCGGGACTGAGTTTCCTGATGATATACTTTTATCTGATATGATGCTGTTTGAATACTAGTTTGAAACACAGTAAATAAAATCCCATGAGAACATACTGAACGTGAAGTAAATCATGTTATAGTCTTTTTTTGCTTTTTTAATGAGATGATGATACTAAATATTTTACCATCTTTCGGGACTGAGTTTCCTGATGATATACTTTTATCTGATATGATACTGTTTGAATACCAGTTTGAAACACAGTAAACAAAATCCCATGAGAACATATTGAACGTGAAGTAAATCATGTTATAGTCCTTTTTTGCTTTTTTCTATGAGATGATGATACTAAATATTTTACCATCTTTCGGGACTGAGTCTCCTGATGATATGCCTTTATCTGATATCATGTCATTCAAGAATGGATTTAAAAAAAGATACTGTCCTGAGAATATATTTGAAGTTATGGAAAGGACATTTTTTCACTGTTTATTTTTTCATGAGATGATGATACTAAATATTTTACCATCTTTCGGGACTGAGTTTCCTGATGATATGCCTTTATCTGATATCATGTCATTCAAGAATGGATTTAAAAAAAAAGATACTGTCCCGAGAAAATATTTAAAGTTATGAAAAGGACTTTTTTTGTGAAATGATGATACTAAATATTTTACCATCTTTCGGGACTGAGTCTCCTGATGATATGTCTTTATCTGATGTCATGCCCTTCAAGCATGGATTTAAAAAAAAAAAAAAAAAGAAAAAAGAAAAAAAACTAAGTATTGGTTTAACATTCTGGAAGAAAGAAAGAAAAAAATCCATTGTTATTTCTTCCAGTTAAAGGTATGGGATGATACTTTATTTTTCACTCAAAAAGTGCTGAGTTTGTAAAGTTCGCCCACCATCATAATGTCTGCTTCCATAATCCCAAATTCACACTGTGTATGAGACTTAAACTCAAAAAGAAGGCGGCTCTGCAAATTTTTTAATGTCTATGTGTGTTCACAGATATGTGCGATGATGATGATGACGATAACAATGAAGATATTGGAAATGATAATCGTGATAATGATTCCCCCGAGTTGATCATTCTTGACATAAATGATGATAATGGAGATGGTAATGATTACTGTACATTTAGCTCATTCTTCAGCTTTGTTTCTAACTTGATCTCCTTTTTGTCTCTTAATTGCTATTAATAACAAGATAGAGTTCACTGATCAAAACATTATACGACCTAGGAATGAAACATTATTGGAGTGATTTCTATTTAAAAAGAAGAGAATAAAAGCTATGAAGATTTCATCATGGCAAAAACCTTTAATTCCAGCTAAAATCATAAAATAAAAATTTGCGTCGGTCAATTCAATATCTTAATTTATGAATTATGTGAGTGCTACTTTTTTCTTGTTTGAAGTAAGGGAGAATTTTCAACACCTTAAAGACTTATTTCTTGGCAAAACTTGATTCAATGGGCCACTGTACATGGTCTAGATTAAAAACAAAATTCACCTGTTTCCTTCTCAAAATTTTACAAAGAAAACTTCTCACACAATGGGAAATTTGGAAATCAACTCTTGAATGATGTAACAACGAATATTTTTAACACAGATTAAGTAGAAGTTAAATTTTACAAACAACGTCATTTGTTCTGGTGCAATTTAACCAATGTTAATTGTTAACACCTATATCTTGTTCAGGAGTTAATATCTAGACTTCCCATTGTGTGATCTGTTTTTCTCGTGAAATTTAAAGAGATACATGTTGCGCAGTGCTTTAATTCATACCTTGTATAGAGGCCCATTAAAAACGGAACAATTAACGTTTCCTTAGTTTTGCATCACATTCCTAAGAAGAGTCAAGAAGAAAAATGTAACAGCACCACCAAATTATCATTTTTAGCTGATTCATGTGTACTTAGCAGCTTATATTTTTTTTACAGAGGTGACTTCAGAAGGGGAAAAAACTCAAGCAAGTGGCTCAGGTAGTCAAGGGAGTGGCGTTGAAGAAGAAGGAAGAGAAGCAGAGGCAGCAACTGAAAGGATCATCGTTCAGTTGGGAGCGAGAGGCAACACAGCGCGCAGAGTCAGGAGTGGATTCTCTAGCAGAGCAGGAAGGAGCAATCGCCAGCCTCCTACGCCCATTGTATGGGATGAAGTGCCCTCCACCGCCGTTGCCCTTTCCTCTCAAAGGGGTAAGATTTCTTGCTTATTTCAAATTATGTGCATAGTTCTTTCAGCTAGCAGGCAGCTGAAAAGATTTTTCTGGGCTTCACTGTCCTCCATTTGTACAAGTTCCTCCCTAAAAACTGCCTCTTCTTTCTTCTACTAAAACCTTACATCTCCTGCTTTTTTTCCTCTCAAGAAGAATAAGAATTTCCTTTAATAAATATTGATGAGCTGTCGGCCAAAGTTATCAAAACCCAATCAGATTAATCAACAGTTTTACTTAACTAAGTAACTTCAAATTTAATTTAGGCATAAAAAAGATAAATAAAGAAAAAAACCAAAAAATTCAACGAAAAACAAGTTGATCAATACTGAGAAAAAATTTGATGATGCTGCTTGTATTTATCATGACGGATTTTCTGCAGTGTATGGAGGAGTTAATTCTGTGCCTCAAGTTTCTTTAAATGTTTGATTGAAACTTTTGGAATAATCCCTATATCCGGCCCCATGAGGGGTTTAATTCAAAGGAAGTTATGTGGCACCGATGACGAAGCCAGGTGGGGGAAATGGCGTTTGTTGATTGGTTGCACTCAGCTTCAAGCATCGTCTTGCTATGTCATTTCGACTGTCAACTTTTGAGTGATTGGGTTTTCAGTAGCTTTTTCTTTTCTTAGGAATGCCTTTTTGAACTTTTCAATGAGCTTTTAAGTTCTTTCATAAAGTTTTGCGGATGATGAAATCCACTACAACCCTGTAAAAATCCCTTGCCACTGCCCCATTCCGCTTATCAGCATGAACAATGTTCAGTCTGTCAGCCATGATGATTTACCAGGTTACCCCAGCACAGTAGGAAATGTTGACTCTCTAAGACTGCATCAGGGCTGTATTTGTAATGAGGTTTATGCTTTTTATATAACTCTTGATCTTTGGCTAGTGCTGGGTGGATATTTGGAAACTTGTTGTTTTGGACTTTAAACGTCACAGACTAAAGGATTTTATTATTTAGAGTAATTTTCAGTTTTATTTCCATTACAGAAGTTTAGGCTTGACTAATAACTTTTATTATTTTTTTAGGTGCAAGGGGAGGTCGAAATGTCCCTTCCAATGTTTTAGGAGAAAGCCCGGATTTGCAGCGAGGTTCATTCAGAGGACGCATGCGAGGAATGCGTTCACGAGGAGCTTATCACTATCAACCCAGATTCTAATCGAGCTGTCATAAAGCATCTTCTCAGTCAACAAATTTCAAAAAATAAAAGTAGGTCTCATGACTTATTCCAGTTGTCCTTAAATTTGACCTGGTCTGAACAAATTCCTAGATAAATCATAAGATAAGTTCTCAGAGGATCTTTTCTAATTTATTAAAATTGTACAATTTAACTGGCTGTATGTATGACCTTTGCTTACAATTTCTCTAGTGTGTTGCGCTTTGAGCTCAACATAAAAACAACTTAAACCAAAATTAGACATGAAATGAGGTAATTGTTTCCAACCAAGTGAGAAATACTGAAGAATTTCTCCAAAAAATATGTACAACACTCCTCGGAATTTTTTTTCCTTTTACAGTAAGACCTCAATTTACTAGATCAGAATTTAATGGATTGATCCGATCTCTTCAAGGGCTTCAAGCCTATTCGAATTAACAGATTCCGCAATTTATCAAAGCGACTCGTCAGCCCTGCTAAATCCGGTAAATCACGGTCTCACTGTTCCTAATGATTTTCCTTACATTAATTCTTCGACATGTTTTAATTGAACAGTGTGCTTTTTATTGGATACCACTTACTTGCTATCCTATGCTCTGCCTCATCCCAATTACTTTATTTTTTTCATCCCTTTGGTTTGAGTTCATAAGCCTCATGGTTCTTACTTTGGCTTTTCTTTTTGCATTTTTCTGCAAAAGTTTGTACCGACCTTAACAGGGTGACCAGTTTAGGCTCTAAAAATAATAATTCTCGATAGTTGGAGAACTAGACCCGAATTTTGTTGGCTGGTTTGCGGTCAGCTGCAAGTTGAGGCTAGAATGTTGACATTGTTATTTGATTTTGTTTATTGATTGTTTTTGATTTAATGATCTGCAACGTTGAAAACTGAATGACTTGATGATGAACGATGGCTGGAGCCCCCTGCAAAAAAAGCTCAACTTCGGCATAGCTTAATTAAGCTATGCCAAAGTTGAGCTTTTTTGCAAATTGAACTTTAAACTTAAGTTTAAAATACAATTTTCCTGATTTAAAATCAGTTTAGGTTTTGCAACTTTCAAGGGACCGCAGCTAACAAAATTTGGGCCTTTGTGGACAGAACAGTGTTACACTGTTGTCGTTGTAGTGCAAAGCACATAAGTAATTTCATCCTGTATCATTTGATAAGGAAGTAAGCAAACTGTCTATTGTCTCTTGCACAAATTGTCTAGTCTATGTGTTTTCAACTCATCAACTGCCTCGTATCATAGGAGCAACGCACTCTCTTGTTTCCTTAATGTAACCACTTAAGTATAAGCCCAAGACTACAGTTTCCATGATCCTTAGACTATCAAGCCCAGAAAATTGGGGAAAATTTCCCCAAAGAATTAAAATCTTCGCTGTTTTCCAATGGAATGGGCTGCAATTCATTCACAGGACAACCAGTTTCTGTTGAGAGGTGTGCACTCAACAAGTCTAGTCTGGTAATGACAGGGTTACTGGCAGAATTTTCTCATTGTTATGCCTCTTAATAGAGCTTTGACCAAAAAAATTCAGAAACTCTTGCTTTGAAAAACGAAATGAAAAAAGTTGGAGAATTGTCTTTTCCTTAGTTTGTAGACACCCTTGTTTTTCCAAAATTCCGGTGGGTTTTGAGTAAATTGTCTGCTGTGTGATAACTGGCCTGGCATGGCAGCTGATGAGTTAAAATAAACTGGAAATTCAACTTGACAAAAATTTGGAATCAAATGATAAATTTGAGAACTAAAAGTTTAGAATTAGGCAAGCATAGAACATCAGCAATACCAAGAAGGAAACCCAATAACTGTTCTTAAAAAAAAAAATGATGCTTTCTTTGTGAGGCTTGTTAGGACATCTATCTGTTTGTACGCAGAGATAGGACTGGTAAATTTCTTTTTTTTTAAAAAAAATTTAATGCTTCTGTTTTAAGGCCCTCAATATCATTGATGAATAGAGTCCATGCCAAATAAGTTTTCTCACTTTTAGTTTGTGACAGAAGATCCATCATCTTGATTCTTGCATTTACTGTCCAAGCTAAATCTTCTGGAACAGCCTAAAAGTGCATAAATTTATTTGGCGTGAACTCCAATAGAAGCAAAATTCGTAATGAAAGATGCAGACCTCATGCATTGTAATTACACAATGTCAGTTTTAATTTGATCCTGTTTTACACTAATGTTAATTTTAGAAAACCTTTCAAAGAAAAAAAAATCAAATGTGATATTAATTATGTGTTTCCTGGATGTAGATTTATAGATACCTCAACGAAATTGTATTGTATTGTATTGTATATATGTATCTTTTTTCCAGTGAACGAGTTCTAAGGAATAAAAACTAATTTTTTATATTCTGTTTGTGTTCTGCTCGTACTTCCAATATCAGGATCTGCCATGTATAAAATAATTTCTTGCTCTATTTTTGATTTGAAATGTCGAAGAGGTAACCTCTGAAAAGATATGGAATTTTTGAGTTTGAATTTTCCTCTCAACGTAAGATAAAACAAGGAGTTAAATCATAGTGAATGTTCGCTGTCTTTCCATTTTACTAATATGAGACTGTTTAATATGAATATTACTATTCGATCAAATATGCTATTTGATGCTGAAGCAATGTTTTCTGAAATTCTATGAATCATTTTATTTACTCTAAAAAGTTAGAAAATTTCAAAATTTAAAAGTCAAAAAATAGCAAAGTTTGAAGGATGGAGTGAGTATTCAAGGAAATACAAGCTTCTCAGTACATTGAGAACGGCCAGGCTAATCGAAGTACACCGAACTGAATGTCCAATCCTTTTGCCGGATGTCGTCTTTGCTGGGAGATAATGGCTACCCTCAATGGGAGCATGACCAATTATCAATTTTTGACATTTAATACTAGTATTATTTTTTTAAATGAAAGTAGGTACGATGAAGGGACTATTTTTGTTTAAACTTTAAGTCTTTACCTGCCTACTCCTTTTGTGGCAGCCAGTCGTAGTTCTTAAAATTTCACTTTCGAGCCGATTATCTTTGGTTATGTTGAATTAATCATTTCAGTAATTTACGAATATACATTAAAATTTGTTTGCCCTCTGAGGATATGTAGGTCGAGCAGGTGTGTGAGAAACAGTCCCTTCCCACACCCCTCTACAATTACGTTTTGGTCAACCTTTACTAATTTATCTTTGAACAGAGTTTTAAAAAAAACCTAATAAGTGTGAACAGGAGGCTCCCTTGTGCAAACGGTCCTACATGGAAAATTGTCTTATCAAAAATGAAAGTTTCAGTATTTCTTTTGGCCACCACTTAGAAATGACAATGCGCAAATATTGGGGTACTGACAAGTTTTCTCCCTTTTTAATTTGTTTAGATTAAGACAGGCGGCAGCATTAAAAAAATTAATGCTGACCATTGGCCTCTGCTCCCTTATTCTAAGACCTCCCTAAAATGATATTGCACACATGAAAATGTTGGGAAACATTTATCAATCATGTCTCAAGAGTCGAAGAAATTTTTGAAATTTTTTTAAGTTTGTCCTTAACAGTGACACAATGATACGATTATTATTAGGTAATGTCTGAAATGATTTTTTATCTCTTCACTGCTTATTATTTATCAAGGTGTACAAAGAATAAAATTTATGAGCCACTCTTTGTACGGTTCAAACGCACCTATTGCAACTAGAATCAGGAAGCTTATGAGAGGCGTAAAAAAAAACATGTCCACAAAATATACCTACATTGGAGAAATGAAAATTTAATAAGTTCCATTTTAAATTTTTCAACTTGTACTCGGCTTGACCATGTGTGGGCTTCATCATGATAAGTCTGGATTGATCCGTTGAGATCCAAGAGGGATTGCAAGTCCAGATAATAATAATTACCTATTCCTCACGTGGTAAAAATGTATTTTAAAAACATTGGTTCAGAGATTTTGTCGACATTTTTCAGCATTTGTTGCGTTTCTCTACCTACTTATGTTCTTTGAGGGCCATCCATTAAACATGTAATGACAATGCGAGGAATGGGATTTTTTTCTGCTTCCTTCTCTGAACCACATGTTCACAGAATATATAGCTATATGTTCTGTGCACATGTTCGAACTTCCCTCTCCTCCCCCCTCCCTCTCGGAGTATTTCTATGAATGGCTGCTTGAAATCATAGAAGATTACTCGGACACACGGCAACCCTGTATGAAAACATTTGTGCCGACAGTGCTGAAATCTGTGATAGCAGCCAGCGCCATCTGTGCAGTTTTGTTTTCAGGTTTCGCCAATAGATTTTTTCAAGCACTGCCATTGCATTTCCCGTGCCATTTCAATTTCAGGGGGCACGAGTGGCCGTGACGTGCGTTCTGTTCTGTGATCTGTGTGAGTCAATTAGCTCTGTGTTTGTGAGTGAGGTGTCAAGTGCGTGTTTGTTTCAGTGATGGCATTATTCCGTGTTTCTTCTAATAAAATCGCAGAGCTCAATCAAGTGAGTAAATCCATTAATTAATTAATTATAACATCAATTCCTCTTCAGGTGACGCTCATGCTTCAAGATTATCTCCGAACACCGAAGCATGAGTTGTGTCGGCGCCGGCTTTGCTAGCAACGGACACAGATTTCGTCGCTGGCGATCTCGGAATTCTTTCAATCCCATTAGACTTCCAAGTCAGATTCATTGACTTTCTGCCTGCTAATGCACCAGCTCAAACTTCAGATCCAAGTCCATACCCATAACCGTCTCATCATCATTGACATGGAAGGCCCTTACCTAGAGTAAGAGGTTATGCCCTCCTTCTCATGAAAGTCCTTTTTTCTTTAAAACTGTGTAGGTTGTATGTTCCCTATGGGCATTACCCTATTCCAGTCTCAAATTTCCCAACATCAATCACCGCTGGTGTGGATTTACCTCTGCGCTTTGCGAGCATTATAGGTAAAGAGGTTCTATGATCATGCTATGCCTAAGTCACTCGCAAGGCCGCATTTCCTGCCGGTTTCCTCTGAATTCTTGTAAAATCATTCATTGGCTCATTCGACTGTAACACTCTCCTCAAGAATTTGTGAAATCAATCACTTAGATATCGAAGTCACATTCTTGTGCTGAATTTTGTTCAGTTTTTGGATGGCTCTGGTCTTGAACCGATTTGCACCCTCGAACACAGTCCAACCTATTTAGCCACATATTGAGTCTTTTAATTCAGTGGTCCATCAGCGTAATAATCTTGGCCAATCAAGGAGAGTGATATTTCCCACCCCTCTAAAGGAATTAACTCTCGAAGAAAGCTCATGCCTATGTTTTTCAACATCTATAGTACTTACCTGCAGGTTAATCTAAGTATTGGTGTGGCATGACAGAGGAACGGAGGTATACCTCATGTATCTGATCATTGCTATCGAGAGGTGAATTGATCTAAGTCACAGCTTGACTCAGGCCTCGGGCAATGCTATTGAAGCCCTTTAAAGAGCAACAAGGACCAGTTGTTTTACTACAGTTTGAAGAGTATGAAAAGAGCATTTTTATTGTAGGGAAAACATCCTCGAGCTAGAGAGAACTAGATCCATCTTCCTAATCCCAAGACAAATGAAAAGGCTCGGCATTGTCTCTTACTTGTATGTACTACCCTTAGAAAGAGCACAGGATGAAAAGGATGAATAACCTTTATTGTAAGTCGCCTCACTCTACATATTCCGAGAAACAATATTATAGCAAAATTGTCCCAATTATTGAAATACAGGGTTATCCAAAAGTTCAGCATCACCCCTATAACCCTTGAAGTTCTTTTCCCTTTTCAGGGTGATCCCCTGAAAATTTTAGGAGCCCCAAAAGTCGTTTTCTTTGATCCAAGTGCTTTCACAAAATTTCAAGTCTCCATCTCAGTTTGTTCAAAAAATACAGGGATGATGCCAAACTTTCAGGTCACACTGTATAAGCATGTTAAAAATTAGTATTAACATGATACCGGTACATCAGATAGCTTGCGATGAAGCCTAGGTCAAAGTCGATTTTCTCTGAAAATCCGGTCAGTTTTCATTTGCTCTGTGCTCTTCCATAGTCAGGTAGCGTTGTGGGGGGCGGGGGGGTTGTGAAATGCGTTCTAAGGAAAGTAATGGCAAACTCAAACTTTTTAGAACGACTTGATAATGAAAGTTCCTATATTTTTTGTGGAGGGAAAATACCTTTGAATGAAATTAAAAATGATAAGAAGAAATCCATTGAGAGCCAAGAATATTCAGCAAATCCGTAAATTTCATTTGAATGGCTTATATAAAGGTCCAGTTTTTTCTCGAGTTATGTGAGAAAGATAGCGAAATATCACATTAGAATGTATACAAATAATGCATTTTTCTGATTGCGACCAACTCAAAATTTTATATGAATTTTCTTTAAGTACGCAACCAAAAATATTCATGGATAATATCAAGATGGTATTTCGGTTTTTACCTTCTTTTTTTTTTTTGAAAAAGGAACCTGTCGTAGATTTTAAAACATCACGCTGGAGATACGTGCATGCGTTTCGACCTCAGCCATCGACATTACACTAATTGTAAGCTTGCTTTACCCATGATTGGAGGGAAGCAGGAGGGAGGCAATAACGGTGCCCTACACGGAAACCGCCATTTTTTCGTGTACGAGTTCTTGATTTTATTGTATTTTTTAACTTCCCCCAACTGAAAATGTTAAACTGAGTGCAATGAGATCGCGCCTGTTCAACTTAGGTACCTGGCTTGATTAGGTGTCGTATTTGCTGACAACATTCTTGAAAGTCGACCAGGCGTTCGTATGAGATCCAGTTTCGTATCGAGATTCAATTTTTTCCCCCTCATATCTGTGGTTGATCAGGCTTTTACTCCTATATTTGTGGGGACGAGGAATCTGTAGCCATGTGCGGATTAAGGGTCTCGCGATTTTCATTCAGATATAGGTAGTAAATATATTTAGAGTGAAGACAGAAAAATAGAACAAAATTATGAAAAAGCCAGGGAAAATTTACTTTCATGGAAGTGACGAATTTTTACGTGTTGCGTCACACGGCTTCGCTTCGTCTCTCAGTCAAGCGGAACTTAAGAAATCTTCCAATTATTATGCATTTTCCTGGGTTAGTCCAAGGAAAAACTTTCCAAAGTCAAAAAATTCCAATTCTAAACTGTGAGATCAGCGGTGAATGGGTTATCCTTCAGTCCGATCCCTATAACCAGGGTTGCCACAGTCAGGGAAAACCGGGAAATGACAGGGAACTTTAGAAAGTCAGAAAAACTGGCAAAGTCGCCGTCGCCTGGAAAAAGGCGAAAATGTTGAAAATGTCAGGGAAAAATTGTCAAGTCTCCTACATATCCTTTCTAGAATGGGTTTGAGTTTTGAACAAGAATTTTTCCTGAAAACTATTTCAAATCATGTCTTTTTGAGCACCTGGCATATCCGTAATTGTCAGGGAATTTTACCCACATGTGAGAGAGAAAGCAGGGCAATGTCAGGGAATTTAATTTTCTTAATTCTGTGGTAACCCTGTGTAAAATTGGTAAATATTATTTTTCAAAAAAAAAAAATCTTATTAATATTTTGAGGTCTAATCATCAAATTCCGAGGGGATTGGATGCAGATGCCGGCAGTTCAGCGAAGTTATCGGCACAGGCTGAAGTGGAACTTTTTTCTGTTGATACGCTACTTTTTTCCGTGGTTGAACTTGGAACNGGGGGGGGGGGGGGGGGGGGGGGTTTATAAGACGGGATAACATGTCAAACGTGTCTGTCTGTTCTTGATTGATGCATTGAAGGTTAACCGCTGGACGAGGATCTGCCGATGAGTGCTAGTTTGCAACCGACATGCGCCATGCCGTAACCATCAGATATCGCAGAAAGTAGGTTTTATTGCGGGATGAACGAGGAAAGAATTTGAAGTTTTAGGAGAAAATTCTTCTGGCCGGAATGAGACTCTCTCGTAGTGCAACTTGTTCTCCCCCAAAACGTGTTTGGAACCACGCGATTAATCAAAGTTCGAGGAGAAGAAAGTTAAACAGTTTTTAAAAAAGTTGAAGGAGTTTACATTAAAAACTGAGATTAAAATTCTCGTTCTCAACAGTCTTCGGACGAGTAAAGAAATGTCAAATGTTTAAAAGTTTGGCGGAGGAGCGATCAAAGTGTTTCAAGCCCTCCTAAGGTTTGAAGGGAAGAAGTTGAACAGATAGTACACAATTTCAAGGAGTCTACATTACAAACGAAGGTTCAAATTCATGCTCTAACAGCTTCAGGATGAGTAACAAAATGTCAAATGTTTTAACACTCGGTGGAAGAGCGATGTCTAGTGTCAAAAAGTCTAGAGGAAGTCTTACCTCCTCAAAGTTCGAGGGGAAGAAGTTGAACAGGTAATTAAAAATTTTGGAGGGTGAGTTGACGCTACAAACCGAGTTTAAAATTCCTGCACAAACATCTTCAGGACAAGTAACGGAAAATCAAATGTTCAAATATTTTTAGGAAGAGGGGTGAAAGTTTTACGGGGAAGTAGGCTTTTGCCGGGAAGTCGTTATTTTCGGGAACAGGAAAGTTCCCCCCTGAAGCTCTGTACTGCAGGAAGGCAAAATGAAGTTCCGGCGATCTGAAGTCGGGTTTGATCCCTTCAGGTGACCAAGCTCTAGCTGATGCAGGGCAAGGCGTGGTGTATCTTGTGAAATTGAAGGTGTCCACTTATGCTAAGAGTATTTCTTAGGATCCTCCGAAGAGGATTGCTCGATGGACAAATTTTCCCTGTCTTAGAAACCCGTAACAAAAAGAGTATGGCTCTTTCTCTCAATTTTCAATTGAATCGGCTCGTGCGAAAACCGCTAATGTCCATTTTTTTCAATTTTGAGATTATTGGGTTAAAATACTCTCGGAGGGCAGACACACTCATGAATGTAGTGAAAATATTTGTTCCTTCGGTTTGAAGCTCTTTTCAGGGAGCGCCGTGGTCCGAATCATGCGATAACCGCTAATGTCCATCTACCGTTATATGCCTCATTATACTGTACAACAAACCGAAATAAAAAAATGTCTCCTGGACGACATTAGGTGATCTTTATGCATTTTAAGGCGCTGAATCCGAATATGAACTCCGTTTTTTTCCATCACCCTCCAATTTTCCGGAAAAGCCGATTTTACTCGGAAAAATGATCATTTTTGGGCATCTTCGGTGTTTTTCCGACTGTTATCCCAACTGTAAAATTGGAGGGTGATGGGAAAAAACGGAGGTCATATTCGGATTCAGCGCCTCAAAATACGTAAGGATAACCTTATTATGCCCGAAAGGCATACTGAAAAATATGCGTTTTCGATGATTTAGAACCGACCATGCACGAATCATGCGAAAACCGCTAATGTCCAGTTCATTGCTGGTAGTCCCGTGATGAAACTTGCTTTAAGTGCCGCAATTGTCAAGAATTTTAGTTTTTTAACTTTATATGAATGATAATCTATCGTTTTAATATCTTTAGAATGAACTTTGAAAGTATCAAACGG